TTATGTATTCAAGTTGGAGGAAGGAGTTTTGAAAATTTATTACAATACTAGCTGATTCGGCAAACGTCGTTTTTCCATGTATATCATTTATAATAAAAAATAGTGGTTGATCGTAGAGGGGTGAAAATTGGGGGTTGTATGTATTTTTAATGCTGTATCATGAAAAAATAAAAAAAATCTTTATCTAAAAATTCAAAGTAATAATTTAGAGGTGGACTACCCTTAACATTAAGGGGGATGAAAAATAGATGTTGTCCGATTCTCAGACATACCCAATATGCATACAAAATTTCATGAGAATCGGTCAAGCCGTTTCGGAGAAGTTGGAACGAAGTTCGAGTGTCAAAACACCGCGAGACGAGAATTTTATATATTAGAAATAGTATTTTTTCAGTAAATTGTGTTTTTTATTTGTTATTAAAAAAAACAGGTAATTTCACAACTAGCAATACTCATTTCGAATAACATTTTAAATTTTGAGTGGTAAGACCAAAATTATTGTAAGGATTACACGAGCTACTTTTTTTACGGGTATTAAAATTAGTAAAAAATAGATCGTAAAGTTTCATTTTCCATAAGAAAAATAAAAGTTAAAAAAGAACAGTTTTAATGCTTCAATGATTTTTTGCCTTTCCTCATTAAAAGGCCGATTACAGCTACATTTATTTTACGGGTAATAAAATTAATTAAAAAACCACATTATTAAGTTTAATTTACCATAAGAATACCACAAGTCGAAAAAGAACATTTTTAATGCTTCAATGATTTTTAGCCTATTCACACAAAAAAAACCACCGATTACAACAAAAAAAAGACCAATTAAGTACCATTTTTTTCTATGATTTTGGTAGCTTAGAACCCTGAGGAGTTTTTAAACTTAGCCAGAAGCTATGGAAACTTCTTTTTGTATTTTTAAATTGAAGTCGAATGTTTGGGCAAATCCAGCTAAAAACTAAACTTCTAAATTTAAAACCTTTTTTGAGTAGCTTTAACTAATTTTAAGAAGCTGGGATTTTTTTTACTTGGACATCATTTAAGGCAATCATTTAACAGGAAAAAAACTGCAAAATACCTACAACAAAAAAGATATGAATTTTTGAAACCTCGCTGGCAGAAAACATTCAAAAAACACAAAAAAATGTATAACTCGAAACTAAAAAAAATCGCGGAACATACATGGGGTATTTTCGTACCCCCAGGTGTGAGGAATCTAAAAAAAATTTATTGACGTCACTAGTTGGACCAACCTGTATACACGTACATATTACCATCTTCTCTTGAAGACAACCAGAGAAACACTAACCCCTTTTTTTTTTTTTTGAAGTGGAATCTCGCTGTTGGCCTTTAGGGCCTTTACAGCTCAGCTCGGGCTGTTTTGGCGAGCTTAGCTCGGCCTGACTATCACGTACGGAATGAGGCAGCCTATTTATATTACATAACCGTGGTGAATGATTTGTCATAACAGCTAGAGGTATGTCGAGGGGTATTACGCAAAACTTCGCAAAAGGGAAGAGATGGTACGACAAGGGATTCCATCAAACAAAATAAAAACAGACAAAATACATATATTTTAATAACTAAATCAATTTTTCTTTAACGTGTTTTCCCGAAACGCGTTATTACGTCATTTACGTCAACGGGTACGTTTTCATGAACGTGGAGAAGTGCCAGTCCGGTTAGGTGATCTTCAACCATTGAAGATCTTAGCCACGATTTAATTCTGCGCAACGTAGAGAAAGACCTTCCTGCTGTCGCTTTACTGACAGGGTAGTGTATCCAATTTTCCTATATTAGTATACATATTGATGTCACACTTTAAAATAAGACTATGTTATGATATGTTGAAGTTTAGTCGTTCCGATTCCGATTGAGGTAAGGTCTAGCTAGACGTTTCATAGCGACAAGGGCGCGCAAGTGTGGCGCGGAAAATTCAAAATTTCAAATTTTCAACATCATACAAAGTTATTATATTATATTAAATTAATTAAATATTGAAGGTATGTAGTTACATATAATCTGTATGGTGACAAATTTATATATAAAATCATTATGATCAATTAGTGGTCCACCTAAGTCCTGCTCAGGGGGGGGTCATGACCCCCATGACCCCCCCCCTGGATCCGCCGTTGATTACTCTCGCTATTTCGTTTGCGTTTTGTAGAAAAGCGTAGTTTAAAATACCTTTGTGTGAGATACGTGTATTAATTTTGGTATTATGCAAAAATAACAACTCTTTAACATCATGTACTTAGTACTTTATTGACAAAATATAGTGTAATTTTGGGCAATGGGCGGTCTTATCGCTTAAAAGCATAATCACTAGCAGGCAACCATCATAATAAAATATAATATTTTACATAATAAAATGCAAATCTTGAATAAAAATATTCGTATAAACATACATTCGTAAAAGCCGGTACCACGTTTGCAAATGGATCAATTGTCTTGAACAACTTGACTGAACGTCAACAACCCAAAATCAAGTAGTAACACAAACTGTTACACCATTCTCAATTAATGTCTGGTTGAATATAGAACTATACACAACAGTTATGTATATTATACACTTCTATTCGCCATTATACGCTTCTATTATGCAGTTGCAAGGCGTTGCTGTGTTTGTGTTTAACAAGCATCGTATTTGATGGCAAGGTGATTTGATTTCATGCTATTTGGGTTTTCCATTGTTAAATAAACAAATGAACGCTACAATTATAATAATTGAAGATGTTTACAGTAAACAGTTATTGTATTGATTCTATGTTGCTTGTAATCAACCAATCACTAGTAGGTTTACTCCTTAAAATATTTAGGTTAAAACTTGTAAGACAAAACTTCGCCATAGTTGACGCACAAAGCCCTCGCTTCTGAGTTTGAATTGTGGCAGACAATAATATATTTGGGTAAGTCTGAATAGTAAGTTGGTTTACAAAAATAATACAATAAAAACACGCAAAAATATTTCTGCATCAACTACATTAGGTTTAGAGAATAATTAACAATTTTTGACTATGACTATATATTTCTATACCACATGGTCAGTTTATATATTAGACCTATTTGATATAATGCCATTTCATATTTCCCCTGCATTAATTAATCAGCTAGACATAACTGTACAGATGTGTAATTAATGATAAGTCACCGCCTTGATACGTGTGTCACCGGATTACATTCTGAATGCAAATGGAGAAAAACAAAGATGTTATTTGTACTACTAAAACCTATACTAACTAGTAAAGTAGTCCTGTAAATTAAAATGTAACCTTACATTAGTTAAGTTTTAGTTAATAAGAGGTGTTAACAAAATTTAAACAATCGTCGCAAACTTGAAGCCAATTTGAACCCTTTAGTTTTTACCACACTCATTTGTAATTTAACATTCTCGTTTCCGATAATGTCCAATAATATAAATTTCACTTATTTACGATCTCTCAAATAAGTCAAGTTAGTTTTTTGTTAATCCAGGGATACAACCCCTAATGTTTTCTTAGTCATAAGCTCATGTTTTAAACAATTAAAGCCAGTTGTTACCCAGCTTCAAAGTGTTTCATTTATCTATAGTAATGCATACGAAAATCGCCACCAAACTTATTTCGTGCTATCGGCTCGTCTTATGTTCTATCAAGGTCTAAGAAACGTCTCCAAAAATCGCTTTCTTCCGATGATGTTTATAATAAACTATACCGTTAACAGACAGAAAACAAGCCTTGACAGTAACTTTACCATCTTGTACAAACTATACAACAAAGTTAAAAGATTCTTATAGTTCGATTTACTATGTCAATTTCTATTGGGCTCACCGATTCTATTATAAAACTCTTGACACGGGGAAGCTTTCACAACTTTCTGCCTCATAATACCTTGTAAAGACTTCAAAATGCAGTTATATTATATTTACGTCGGTTTGAATGTCCAAGAGGAATTTAAAAGTTTTGCTGATTCTGTATTCAGCTTTATTCCTTTGAGAATTTCTCATAAACATTGCGTTAAGAAATCATACTTGGCAATTTAAAGTTGAGGTAATGTAGGGCATATCTTTAGAAAGTTTTTCATTTTAATCGTGCTTTTTGATATAAATTGAATACTTTCTTGACTGCCTTTTTCTTGGTCGTCTTTCCTCACATAGTTAAAAAAGGTATACGTGAATTTTTAGGTGTCTACTGTCCAGAGAGCAATGGAGCGGAGCATCTTGAGAATCAAAAGGATTGTCCGATCAGACACGCTAAACCACGCCTTATAGCTGACATGGACGTATCACCTCGACGTCCGCCGTTCCACAACTGAGCGTTTTTCAAGGCAGTTTTTGCCGCGCATCACCACATGTGAAACCAGCTGCTGCCCCCTGAAGTATTTCCGAACCAATTCGACTTAGGGTCCTTCAAGAAAAGAGCGTCCCAATTCATAAAATGCCGGCAACGCACTCGCGAGCCTCCTGGCTTTGAGAGTATCCATGGGCTGCGGTATCACTTAACATCAGATGAGCCTCCTGCCCGTTTTCCCCTGTCCTATAAAAAAAAATGGAAATGGGCAGGCAAAATTTCAGGGTGTACTGACAAAAGACGGACCGCCGTAGCTACTCTCTAGAAATATACCTAATATCAAATTGTACCTCCAGGAACAAGAAACGTGCGAAGACCAAAAAAGCCATGGGCTCGGTTTTTAATTATGTACTAGCTCTTAATAATTATCATTCGTTAAAATTATTTTTATGCTCTGCGCCATCTATCCTTAGCTGTTGATAACTTCATATCGGCGTGTTTCATTGTTAAAATCGCAGTTGAATTGTATTACTTATTGGCTTCATTGAGTAAGGGCAGCTGCGGGTTAAAAACAATTACTGAATTGATAATTCAAGACATTATGAAATTGTGAAAAACATATTTATTAAATGGACATCTCTTAACGAACATTAATTTAACATTAAAATAAAACAACGACTGTTACTATGTGTTTATTTACTACATTTTCGTTCCCAATAAAAACATTTTTGTATATTTTCATAACAGGCCTTCAGGTTTATCCTTAAATATAGAATACAGTTCAAGTAATTGTTTATTTTTTTGATTTTTAATATTTCGGATATCCGTACGTCGATTCACGTGTATTTTAGCGCCCTCTGTGCCGGACCAAGCTTTGGCAGCTGATACAAGCCTACTCCAAGGCATTGGCCACTCTCCGCGGAAGTACTGCAATACAATTACAAGCTCTCGTGAAAACATTATAATTACAAATACAACTAAAAGATGGCGCTTTTAAACTATGAAAATCATACTTAAATTGAATTTTGGAAGTTATCCTAAATAAAATGAAAATACTGTCTGATTTTTTTTTTCAAAAATACATTCCTTCGTTATTACGAACTTCGTTAATAGAATAGTATATGTTACGTTTAACAAAAAATTAAGACGTCCGAAAAAAAAAAATAAAAAAAAAATAAGTTACTTATTGACACTAAGACATCACGTAGTCCTAATTATTTCAATTTTTTTTTTTCGGAATGGCAATAGTCACATATTATATAAATAGTCTAGCATTTCTTGCCTGCCAATCCAAAAAATAATGTGTTTTAATTCAGTAAATTAAATTTTCATATCTTACTTGATCGAAAGGCCGCCTTCCAATATGAAACATTATATAGAGCAATGGCGCTCTATTTAGCGGAAAAGTAACGTCACAATCGTCTTGAATCCCCAAACCTTTGTAAATCCTTTCTGAATGCATTTGTAGATGATCATACAAAACCTAAAATAGATGAGAATAAAATACTTTAAATTATGACGTCATTAAAGTTTGACTGAGAAAATATCTAATGTAATCTATGAGCACCCGAAACTAGCAATGAGATATACCCATGCATATAGACTTTAATAACGTCATTAACAGTTAAACGTGCAAAGAGAAACTAATTTTTTGACTGAATTAATGATTGTCCCGTTTGCACCGCATCTATCTCTCTTCCACTCGAAGACTTAAGTATGGAATCATTTCATGACGTTGTTACGTTAAACTATCGTCCGTAAAGCTTAGGTATCCTAGAAAAGCGGTGCCGTTAACTAACGGCCGTCATTTTACGGTTGTTAATAAAGGCCGTCTTTACTTTTTAACATACTGCAAAAAAACAATCATTTTCGCTCGTCCAAGTCACGTTTTCACTCATTGTATTAATTAAATATGGGCACCGCTACACGCGAAAAACGTTAAACTAATGTTTATCACCGCTATGACGGCCGTCATGCAAATGACAGCACATCTATTTGACGTTACGGTGACACTCAAACGTTCTCTAGAAAACCTACTCCGATGTTATTTATAGACAACGTATGGGTGACGTCACCCAACGTTACATTACGGCCGTTAGATAACGGCACCTTCTAGGAAACTTAAGCTTATACGTAGCGTAACGTCCGTCCGACTTTACAGACAACCATTTTTTCATTTCAATGTCCTTAAAAATTTACCTGATATCAAACTGTACCAGATTTGAAAAAATAAAATCCCTATAAAAAGACCAGTGATTACATAATAAAATTACCCGAAGGCTATCTCTTCCAGCCGACGTCATCAATATTTGACTAGTTAAAGCCGCGGCATCGTCTGACCTCTCCGCGTTTGATGCAGCAACGTTACCCTAAAAAAAATTGCGAATTTAAATGTGTAGTACTAAAAAAAACATTTTGTTCCAAATTTTAACCCGCAGTTATAATCACCTCTTCAAAAAACTCCGCAAACTCTGGAAAATCTTCCAAGCCAAAAGTGTTGGAGACTGAATGTTTCTTCTTTGTTTCCTCGAACAGATTCTCTATCTCGTTCGTATGTTTGTCGTCCTCGTCTATGGAACAGAGCGCTTCGGCCACAGCTAAAGCTATTGACGATGGACTGCTGTGACTTCCGTCGAAACTAACCGAACTGGACATAGCTGGAAACATTAAAATATATATATACTATGAGAACGAGAGAGACAGCTTTAGGACAAATCCTTTTATGGGAAGAGAAGAAGAAAACATGAGAAGGTATTTCTATCTCCTACCACCAGTGTATACTGCAGTGGAGGTTGTTATAGTGCCGCTGAGTTACCAGTGAAATACGAGAGCATTTACCCCATAATACCTACCCCAGGTGGTTTTAGTGGGAATTTCTCACAGAGTCTATGAATAAAAAAGGTATAATATGACTTAAATGTCAAATCAGTGCAGCCGTTCGCATTTTCATTTATGGGTAACAAAAGTCAGTACTTAAATCTAAGATTACAATGAGTCGTAGGCATTTATGGCTTAGATTTTGCATGTAAGAAATTACATTGGTTTTTGTATTGTTAAAATAATATTATTGGTGGTTTGTTGGATACATCTACAAAGACATCATACCGTTACACAGTTTTTTTAATCAGTACGGAGGGAGGATCGTAACCTTATTAATATTTGTATTGTATCGTATTGTATTGTATTGTATTGTATTGTATTGTATTGTATTGTATTGTATTGTATTGTATTGTATTGTATTGTATTGTATTGTATTGTATTGTATTGTATTGTATTGTATTGTATTGTATTGTATTGTATTGTATTGTATTGTATTGTATTGTATTGTATTGTATTGTATTGTATTGTATTGTATTGTATTGTATTGTATTGCATAACTAAGCAATTAAACTTAATTAAACCAAATATTTTCGGATTTTGATATATCCTTGCTTTTCGATAGAGATTATGTATACTGCAATTTAAAAATAGCTTCTAAATAAAATAAATACTCACTTGTTTGCATGGAATGTATCCTGACTTGTTTCGCCCTGGCTTTGTGCCGTATGTTCGTATTATTTGCATCTCCACATGCTGAAATTTAAAATATTCACTCAATCAAACTCCAAAATATAGGGCAGAAGGGCAGTTATCGCAGCTCATGGAGACCTATTATAATGGGTGTGTTGCTGGCCTTTGAGGGAAGAATATACTCTTTCTTTAAACAATTGGAGGTCGTATCTCCCAGGGACGAAACTCACCGGGAGTCGATTCCACAATTCTCTAGTTCGCAAAAGAAAATGTCTTGAGAAGCCGACCACGGAAGACTTTCAATCATCAAAAGGTTATTTTATTTCCTTGATGATTTAATCGTAATTTGTATTAAAGTAAGATCAAGACTAATTCCGTCAAAATAAGAAATTACTTGAAATAATTGGCCATAAAATTGGGCTCGAGACAAAATCACTTTTCGACATGCGTGACCCACTAACGTCAAACGAATGTATGAAAATGGTCACGTGACAAAGCGTGAGCTAATGTCATTCCAAAAAAATCGTTTGCAAGTAACGAAACGTCATAACGTCCTACAGCTAACATAAATTATATGTAATAACAAACAGTTACACTAAAAATATAGCCAGATATGAAATATATAATACAAAAAGGTTCAAAAATTTACAAAAGGAAACAAATAACTTTTTTTGTATTACAATACTAGCTGACCGGGCAGACGTCGTTTTGCCATATATATCATTTATAATAAAAACATAGGGGTTGATCGTAGAGGGGTGAAAGTTAGGGGTTTGTATGTATTTTATCATAAAAACAGAAAAAAAAATCTAAAAATAAAAAAAATATATTTAGGGGTGGACTACCCTTAACATTTAGGGGGATGAAAAATAGATGTTGTCCGATTCTCAGACATACCCAATATGCACACAAAATTTCATGAGAATCGGTCGAGCCGTTTTGGAGGAGTATGGCAACGAAAACTGTGACACGAGAATTTTATATATTAGATTAATATAGAACAGCTATAGCTACAGGCTATTTTTGGATTCTTGAATTGATACACAAAACATAGTTTTAAAAATGGGTTTAAAAAGTGAACTAAAGCTAACTGATTAATCACCTGCGGTTTCCTTCAAAGCCTCTTTCTTAGCCCACTTCAAAAGCTCTTCGTAGACCACAGTAATTAACATTTGCAACACGACAGAGCCGCCAACTGGGTGAATATTTGTTGGCAATGATTTTTCCAAAATTTCTGCTGTATTTAAAAAACTACGCGGTATTGAGATCAAGGTACGAGATATGCAGGTTAAACAAAGGGACATTGTCTGAAATAAAAGAATGAAAAAATAAAGTTTTTGTGTAAATTCATAGTATATTTTCGGTCTATAAAAAAATCGATGGCGCCACAACACTTGGACTGCGCATCAGATTTCTCTATTTTATGAAAAAAAAATCTGTGCCTGACACACACCATCAGCGTTTTCGGTCTGTCTTCGTTAGTTTTCTCAATGTCTTTATTACAAGTGTGTTAAATGCACACATCTATTCTATTGCTGCACAGCCTGTGATCGAACCTACGACCTCAGGGAGTAACACGCGCAAGCCACTAGTGGTCTCTAGCTGAGCGCTTCTCAATTCTTAGCAAGAAAATGTATCTTCAAACAAGAAGAATATTTTGGACAATACATAAAAACTTTGTTATCATAACACACTACGCTATCTTTATGTCCTTTGATCAATTAGACTATAGAAATAGCTAAACAATGACATTTTATTATAATAAAATTCTTATAAGAAATAATGAGAAATATGTAATATCGAAACATTACTATACAATTGAAAAGAAATTTATTAGATTTTACGTACTGGAAATTGTTTACACATTAACCTGTCCCGACTTAAAGGATACGTTTGGTTAAACTACACGATTACTATTAGTCGATAGGTATTAGATACTGTATTTTGTTCCATACGGTTTGTCTAAGTAATTTTATGTTTATGTAGATTTGCACTTGTTGCGATCGCATTATCTAATTTTTTTCTTACTTCTTACAGTAGTTTTTTTTTTTTTTTTTAGGACAATTCACACCAATTGACCTAGTCCCATGCTAAGCTGGTGAAGCTTGTGTTATGGGTACTAGGCAACGGATATACATACATATTATAGATAGATAGACATATAAATACATATTTAAACACCCAAGACCTAAGCACAACACCAAATGCTCATCACATCGATGTTCATCTCAGCCGGGGATCGGGAGTAGTTGCCTGGAAGAGATCGCTGGAAAGCAATAATGCCGCCAATACCCTAATTTTATTGAATTATTTAAAATAATATTACCTGGTACATAGAGGCACCGGACTGTATCGCATTAACAAGTACGGAAGGTATAAATTCCAAAGCTGTGCCAACCAATCCCATTACTCCAGCCAACCATGAAGGTCTCCTATCGCACCATACCTATTACGACAAAGTTAAACATATCAACTGAAATATATTTAAAATTAATCGCAAAAGCGCTACATATAAAACACGGAGTACGTATAGTTTTTACCTGGAAAAAAAGATCGTAACCATGGTAACAAATATGCAGTCCATGTTTTATAACTAGAAGAGTTAAAGAAAGCTTATGTTGAAATAAATAAATGTTATCGTCGCTGTAGAATGATAACCTCGTATGTCCAGAGAACCCAAACATTACAGGAAACGAAAAATGTTTCATTTGGTCAATGTTCGTTAAAATATTATTAGAATTTAAACTCTTTATAACGACGTTCTTTATAACGTATGTCTTTATAAAGAGGGTTAATCGAATTAAGTTAATTAAATTAAGAGTTATATGAAGAGTTAATCGTTATTAAGACACTCTTTATAACGACATTCGTTATATCGAAACAGCCTCTATAAGGTAAAAATGAGATAAATTTATTTGGCTTAACCCAATACCCATACATTAATTCTTCCCCTCCTATAACAAAACCCTTCTATAAATAATAAAAATTCTCGGTCCCTTGAAATTCGTTATAAAGAGTTTATACTGTATGTGCTTTTGTCCATAGTTTTAGTGATAAAAAGGTCTTATTTAGTATTGTCTTTGATTAACATAACTTTTATTCATTTAATAAAACACTATTTTGACCGGATTGAAGTTATGTATTATTATAAATTTACAACTATTTAACATAATTTTAAATTTATCCGACGTTTCGCGTGCTTTACAGCGTGCGTGGTCACGGTGACTGAAGACAAAAGATGTTGAATGTCAAAAAGTATCACAGCTGCAGAGAAAGTTGCATTATCTGTATTTATTTCCCCGGAGTTGGTATCGACTAAAAGATGGAGGGTTTTGGCAAAAATGGCTTACGGTGTCCTCTATTTTCGCGGATTGTTCTTTTTGAGATTTTAATTTGGATATTATTGGATCCCAGGTGTTTGACAATTTTAGGCCGTCTTCTCTATTGAAATTGGGGTGTTTTTTGATTTCAATGGCTTCGCGTACCAATCTTGGGAAGAATCTTTTCTCTTTCGCAAGTACTTTCGGTTGGTCAAAGCGTATGTAGTGATTAGGCCTATCTAGTATGTGTTCACAGACTGCTGATTTTGTGTGTCGTCTATGTCTTATGTCTGCAATGTGTTCTTTGAGTCTGCTGGACATATTGCGTTTAGTTTGCCCTATGTAAGACAGGCCACAGTCGCAATCCAGTTTGTATATACCTGCATCTTGCAATGGGGTGTTACTTTTGATTGGTCTTAGGAATTGCTGAATCTTCTTGTGCGGCTTGAAAATTGTATGAATAGAAGCTCGTTTTAGGATCCGGCTAATTCTATCTGTAACTCCCTTTACATATGGCAAGTAGGCTGGCTGGCGGGGAACTGTTTGTGTCTTGTTTTTGTTTTTGTGATGCAGCCGGGGGATGCGCAGCTTGTTTCGGTGTAGCACCTGTTTGACATGCTGTAGTTCCTCCTCGAGGTGGGCATCATCACAAAGACGTTGGGCTCTCTGAAACAAACATTTACCGACAGAAAGCAGTTGTGAAGGGTGGTGGTGGGATTCACCATTGAGGTATTACGTACATTACATCCAGAAACCTATCTGTGTGGGTTGCCTTCCTGTGTATTGTGTGACCTAGTGTGCCATCTGCTTTGCGTATAATTAATAAAAATGTCTAAAAAGGGCAGACGGTTGTTGTTTTCTTGTTCAACAGTAAATTTAATGTTCTTGTGTATTGAATTTAAATGTGCTAGAAATGCAGATATTTTGTCATTGGGGAGTACTACAAATGTGTCATCGACATAATATCTCTTGTACAGTCGAGGTTTAACCGGGGCATTGGCCAGAGCTCTCTCCTCAAAGTCCTCCATGAAGATGTCAGCGACTATAGGTGACACTGGAGAACCCATGGCTACTCCATCAACCTGCACATAGAACTCATCTTTCCACAATAAGTATCCTGATGTGAGACAGTGTTTTACAATATCTACATAATCTGGTGACATGTTCTGTTCTCTAAGTCTTTTTGCAATGATATCTAGGCAGTCATTTAGTGGTAAGTTTGTAAATAGTGACTCAATGTCAAAGCTCACCATGGTTTCATTGTGGAGTAATTTGAGATCTCTCAATGTTTCCACAAAATGGTAAGAGTCCTTAACATGAGCACTAGTGTGCCCTCTGAGAGGGGATAATATTGACACTAAGTGTTTAGCTAATTTGTATGTGGGTGAGTCGATATGACTGACTATGGGTCTTAAAGGATTGTTGTGTTTGTGTATTTTTGGCAATCCATACATTTTTGGAGGTTTTACGCAGGCTGTTGTTAAAGATTTGACGTCTAATGACAGTGTTTCAGAATATTTAGTAAGGAGGCTAGATGTTTGTTTTATTACCTTGTTTGTGGGATCTTTATCGACTTTTAAAAAAAAAAAGAAACGAAGAGAAAAGATTCTTCCCAAGATTGGTACGCGAAGCCATTGAAATCAAAAAACACCCCAATTTCAATAGAGAAGACGGCCTAAAATTGTCAAACACCTGGGATCCAATAATATCCAAATTAAAATCTCAAAAAGAACAATCCGCGAAAATAGAGGACACCGTAAGCCATTTTTGCCAAAACCCTCCATCTTTTAGTCGATACCAACTCCGGGGAAATAAATACAGATAATGCTACTTTCTCTGCAGCTGTGATACTTTTTGACATTCAACATCTTTTGTCTTCAGTCACCGTGACCACGCACGCTGTAAAGCACGCGAAACGTCGGATAAATTTAAAATTATGTTAAATAGTTGTAAATTTATAATAATACATAACTTCAATCCGGTCAAAATAGTGTTTTATTAAAGGTCTTATTTATTAATAACATAAGTCCCTACTTCATGAGTATACCAGTTAAATGACATAAGAGTCTAACGGTGCGTACAGACTATATAACATAACATGTTATACAACATTGCTATACAACATATTTCAGATAATGTGGACACTGAATGTTATAAAACATGTTATAATAACATGTTATTGATATGTACCACAATGTTATTTTGTTATGTTATTGATATGAACCCAGCATCTAGGTTTTTTTGTTTTTCTTTTGTTATTTAAAATTACAACAGTCGCTGCCGCAGCCAGCAAAACGTCCTCTCGTGTCTACATTGTGGATAGCACTGGAGAATAGGGATGTGAAAAAATAATCGATTATTAAAAAAATCTATTAAAATCGATTTTTTTACGCGATTTTTATATTTAAAATAATCGATTATTGATCGATTATTTTTATAATTGAAAATAAATCATAGTCGATTTTTCCACTGCCACCTCCCGACATTATATTTGGTCTTTTATAACCCGGACCTCGAACAATTACGGATATTTGATATACATCGATGTTTAGAATGCGATACATTGAATACGATTCTTTGAAGATGTATTGATATACTCGATGCATTGATGTTTTTTTGTAAAACATCGTAAGGATGATAAAACCAGTTAATTTTAGGTACAAAGACTCAAGTTTGAATGGAACACTATAATTTAAAAGTAAAATAAATTTATTCAGCAACACAAGATAACATACAATAAAAAAGACAACAAAAATACTGCAATTTGCTACTGAAAAGGCATAACTAAGCATTTATCAAATTTCACCTAAAATCTATCAAAACGAGATTAAGTTAATTTCGATTTTGATTATTCTTAAACGTTAATTTGTGTTTATAATTTCTATTGTAAAAATCCCTAAATATCTTATTTTTCAGTAAAAAAAACCATGAAAAATAAGATATTTAGGGTGATTATTTTGAAATTAATTCAAAAATTAGGAAATAATCGATTAATAAAAAAATCGATTATTTTTAAAGAAAATCGATTATTTATTATTTATTTACAGCCTTATATCAGAAATACTAAATATATATATTATAACTGTTATTTTTCTTAATCTACGATAACTGATTCTGTGTGCCTACGGGCAAGGGCCTCCCCCCATTGTCCTCCATTTTTCCTTATTGTATACCAATCTCGTCCAGGTCTTAGTCTTTCCTGCCATTTCCATGATTTCATCGGCCCACCTTTTAAATTGCCTACCTCTGTTTCTTTTATGGCCTCTTGGTTGCCATATTTATTAATCGATTAATAAAAAATCTATTTTTTATGCAGAATGTCACATCCCTACTGGAGAACGACAAACGACAATGGTTATACAATGCAATATAACATTGTTATATTGCATTGTTATTCTAATGTGTACAGTATTGTCTTATGTTATAATGTTGAATAACAAGGTTACATACTGTGGACGTGTTATAAAACACAAGTTATATAACATGTTACATAGTCTGTACGCACCCTTAGAATAAAAAATAAATGGTTTTTGACATACGAGGTTATCATTCTGTGACGATATGACACATATTTTAAAATTAATTCTATAAGAAAATATTCGTTTCTAAGAAATATGTTTATTTCCGTCTTGCAATGAGGCAATGTGTCCATGGGCCAGTAGTACTTTAGGTACCTCCTGCGTGCCACCTGTTTTATATGAAAAACCGTTCAAGAAGTTTTATTTAAGCTAAAAAAAAAATCAGTGGCGCTACAACTTCTTTAGGTCTTGGCCTCAGATTTCTGAATCTGTTTCATGATCATTTTTGAATCTAATAGGCAAGTAGGTGATCAGCCTCGCCGTGCATGACACATGCCGTCGACTTTTTGGGTCTAAGATATGTCGGTTTCCTCACGATGTTTTCCTTCACCGTTCAAGCAAATGTTAAATGAGCACATAGAAAGTCCATTGGTGCACAGCCGGGGAGCGAACCTACGACCTCAGGTATGAGAGTCGCACGCTGAAGCCACTAGGCCAACACTGCTCTTTATTTAAGCTATACCTGTCGTTTATCCAAGCAAGCTGCCCAATCTCTACCAGATACTTCCAACGCATAGCATAAAGTGGATTTCACTTCATCCGTACTGCCAATATTCGCTATTATATGAGACAAAGCGCCCACCGCTCTAGCATACTCTTCGCCATCTGAAAAATAGCAGTGACAAATGTGAAATATCACTGCGATAATACAAAAATAATCGTAAGCCAAATTAATAAAGAAATCGTTTGACAGATCTTGACACTAGACGGTTTTGAAGTGTTTTGTGATTTAACTATGAATCTCCTTAAAATACATAACGCCTTTACGGTTATCGGTCGTAAAAGTACCTCCTTTATCATATTATGACTTCTATTCATTTGTAAGAAAAAGACCAAAACTTTTCAATCAAATTAAAATTTATTATAGGTTATTCTACACTTGTAAACGTCAATATTTAAACAAAAAAATCAAGATTTACAATTACCAGTTCTCAAATAAAAGGCGTAAAGTGAGAAGAACTAGCAAGAAACTATCCGTTATTCTTCAATCGCCAAGTTTACAAGGACATTGTAAGGAGAAGAGAACTATTACGCCGTGCTTCACATAAATCGCTCAAAATGTTATAATAGTAAAATAACGCTTAGCATCAGCACTTACGATTTTAAAACGTCTAAAATTGGTTACAACACGATTACACGTACACGAGTTTCACATTGACATACCCTTTTTATCCTCTGTGAACGTACAAAACCCGTCTGCTGTACACAGAAACCCATCACATCTATGCCTAGTCCCATCCCCGTACCACAAGCCATCGGCGGGCCACCGCGAGTTATCGCTAGACATATTTCGTATAGCAGAGATAATAAGCATTCTCGCTAAATGACAGTTTCGCATCATTAACACCTGGAATAAAATGTGATTTTTAGCCTGCGAAAAATGAGTAAAATTTTTGATATAGATAATGTGATGTATGTTGTCAATGTCAAATTAGAATCGTGTCAGTCTAAAGTCACTTTATTAGGTCTGGCTGGGTGATATTCAGAAATGGTCTCGTATATCAAAAACGTATTCAATTTTGATATACCGGAGTAATAATTCGCGTTTCGTTTCTGAATGTTACTCTTAATTTACACAAGAAGGCAAGGAATTTGCTTGTTATTATCAGACCAGGGCGGTCTGTAACTTAAACAGCTATTAGCGAGCCACACGCTTCTGTATGCAATTTCGATATAGTTCTCTCAATATCCGTTCATAATTATCTCAATAGCGCTGAACAATATTGAAATTGGGAGGTCTGAAGTTCCGGCGAGAACGCGTTCTTGAAACTCTCTATTTTAGTTTAATTGACAACCATGGAAATGTTATATTGTAAAATATAAAATCTTTATTTTTTTTAAAGAGTTAAAGTTCTATTAAACATCTTTTATTTCGTTTGTTTACTTCATCCGACCAGTAAGAGATACATATATATCAACAGATTTTTTTTAAATATATAGATAAGTCATATGGGAGGGTAAACCGCTTCGTTACGTAACGCGTTACGGCGCCAGTCTGTCTGGCTTCCCGTTCTCTGACGCATACGACAGCGGTAGGCAGGCTCTCTCACTCTAACCCGCAGAGCTAGCCGTATAACGGACAGACGCTTTTCCCACTCTACTCAGTGTTTAGTGTGCCTTGGACATTTACTGTTGACAGTGAGCATATAACCTCAAACTATCACCGTTTTTGAAAGTGATTATATAAAAATATGATGAATGAAGCAGAATATTATAATCGGAATATTACAGAACGAAATAGTTCAACTTAGATTAGTTTAAATTATCACTTGTGTCGGGAAATTGCGACCTTTACCTTCTAGAATAGCTTCAACTAAAACTATTAATATCATATTATTATTTTTTATTAAATTCACTAAATAAATTTATATGTAGATGATTCGTTCACCCATATGACATACTAAATATGCCAGCCATCAACTTGATTCATTATTATAGATACGGAACGAATTTAAAAATCTAAGCAATCTTTACCTGCCTTCTACTAACTATTAACATTAGGTACGTAGAAATATAACTTTAATTAAGAAGATTAAAATGGATACTTAAATAAGTTTATAAGTAGAAATTTTACCTTAACAAGCAAACTCCAAGATGGCTGTGGTTGACCCAGTAATACAATAAGTTCTAAACCAATAGCAGTTTTATTCGGCAAGTCCTGCGTATGCGTCGTGACGTCATCGAAACCATCAAACAAATTGGGACTAACAAACGTAAACCATGGGTAGGGACATTCCTTTGTCATTGTTTTTTCTTCATTCTCTTTAAATGCCTGAAAAACAACAATTATTTTTCAACTGTATGGACTTTTTGCCAGCTTTCATGTTAGAATGCCAAAGAATTATGTTTTTATGTTACCTACATTCATAAACTTCATATTTTAAAGTAAAATATTTAAATTACGAAACAAGCGAGGGAATGGAGGGGGGGCGTCATCCAATAGCGGGGGAACGCGGATTGGTTAGTCGCCATGCCGCAGTGGTCAGGAGCACACCGCGCGTTCGCGGTAGAAGCGTATTTTAAAGGCGCCAATTCGTTTACTCAAGCGAGGCGCGCGTTTTGTCAGCGGTTCCAAATTCGTCGATTAAGCGACGCACCAAGTATTCAACTAATCAAGTTGTGGACAGAGAAGTTCAGGCTAACTGGTTCAACAATCAACAAAGCAAATCGTCGACAGAACGAACCCGTAAGATCGGCCGAAAACATTGACCGCACCGCCGCTGCTATACGGAATGACCCGCGGCGCTCCGTCAGAAAACTTGGGGCATCGTTGAATATTCATCGCTCCAGCATTCACCGAATTTTGCGATTAGACCTTAAATTCCATCCATACAAAATTCAAATAGTCCAAAAAATCAAATCTGAAGACCTCACAAAGCGAAAAACTTACTGTGAACAAATGTTACAGAATTTTGGACCGGAAAATGACCTGGATAAGGTTTTCTTCAGTGATGAAGCCCATTTTCACCTCGAAGGCTACGTCAATCAACAGAATTGTCGCTACTAGTCGCCGAGCAACCCACAGCAAAAGCATCAGAAGCAATTACACAGTCCTAAGGTAACCGTTTGGTGCGCGATGTCTGCGACACGAATAATCGGACCCTATTTTTTTGAAGATAATCGCGGCACCGCAGTAACTGTTACTAGCGATCGTTACGTAGCGATGTTAAACAATTTTGTTGTGCCGGAGCTCCAAGAAAATAACGGGCCTGATGAGGAAACGTGGTTACAACATGATGGGGCTACCGCTCATACTGCTAGGATGTCGATGAGCAGGGTCAGGGCTTTATTTCCTGGTAAAGTCATAAGCAGGTTTGGGGACATAGCCTGGCCACCTAGGTCCCCAGATTTAACACCAGCTGATTTCTTTCTCTGGGGCTATTTAAAAAGTCGAGTTTTTATCGAGACGCCGACGAATATTTTGCAGTTGAAGACAAAAATCGAGGAAGAAGTGACTTCGATTACAACAGAAATGCTGCAACGCGTAATAGAAAATATGCGTCTACGTTGGCAGGAGTGCATACGCCGTGGTGGAAGTCATCTCGACGACGTTATTTTTCGTAAATAATATCCGCATTAGTGAGCTTGGATTTTGTATTCATTAAAACAATATATATTATGCAACGGTTGATTTTTTATTATTTTACTAAAGTTAAATTCTGGAATGAGTCACCCTGTATATTTGACCCCTCCCCGCTTCGTCTCGCGCTTGCGGTGCGACACCGCGCGGTGGCGCAACGCGTCGTGTGACACGGTATAGTAATTTTTATGTAGGATGACGTTGCGGCACCGCTCCGGCACCGCTCCGGCGCCGCACAGCACCGTTACCGCATCGTGTGGCCGCGCTCAAAGGCATGCCGCTATCCTCATTATGGTTTCGTTCACTGTTCAATGCGTACATAGATATAAAGTCCAAGCCAGGGTTTGCTAATTTACGAATAATAATACATTATTTTCATTTAATTTACCTGATGTAAAAAGTGCAATTCGGCACCTCTAAACACCATACATTTGAACAGTTCATTGCACTTGGCGTGGACGTCTCTGACGTCACGGCTCTGTGTGGACCTTTGTAAGCCAACCAAGTCTGAACCACACGCGCATATACAAGGTAACAATTGAGCTGTGCACAGCAATATATTCACTATGTCATTTACGAGTAGTGGTATGTGGTCAGTGCTGGTCTAAAAATACAATTGTTGTTGACGTTAAGATTAATCTTTTATTAATTATTTAAATAAATGTTCTTCAACGAATCACGTACATGACATACTCCACAATTAGGTACACTATCTTTATGGGTTTTAACAATTTTATATATAGTGGGAAGTATTAAATGAATATGAACACGAATTTATTATTTGATTGCAACTCGGCGTTTTTAGGGGCCTCATAGCCTAGCGGTCTTATTAAAAAGCAGCTAGGTGAGGGGTACCTAGTTCGATTCCCGGTTCGAGGGCAAGTTTTAATTTAATTTAAATTTGTTCTCGGCCTTTGGGAGGGTTGTGCGATACCGGGCGAGTGCTTAAACCGTACATGGAGGACACGGTCAAATTTCTAAGGCAAGCACGAATTATAAAAATCTTATACTTGACGCTGGCTAATGCACTAATAAATAAAACTAAAAAATAATATTTATTTATTCACACCGTTTAATTGTACTGTTACGAAACACGTGTTCTAAATATAAAAATACTAGAATAATATACAACTTGAACATAGTTATTATCGATTTTCATGCCACCTAGGACTAACTTAACGATGTAGAATTTAGGTGTCGGTGTGCGCGCCCATCGTAAAAATTCACTCTCATCATTTTCTCCCTCGCGCCAAAAGAAGTATAACTTCAAAAAGTGTTTAAAGTATAAGAGCCTAACCACTAGGCCACGAACAGTTTTCTAAAACTCTTTGACTATTAAAAAAAACCTCCTAATACCTGACAGTATCGTACTGTGAGTATAGTGAGCGTCTCATTCAGCATTCCGGCAAATATCCTCTGAGCCATACGCGGTGGTACCGTATCCCATAGATCTTTTCGACTGCCTGAAATATTACATTTATTACTGACTAATTTCACCTTAATTTAGTCGTAGGATTGAACGCCGCAATTTCTATCTATGTGCGTATATAACACTCGCTCGTACGGTGTAACACATCGTCAAGAATTTGGCATGAGTGAGTACACCCAAAAAGTTGACAGCGTGTGTCAGATATAGCTGATCACCTATTTGATTCAATAAAACAAATAATCACAAAACAGATACAGTATTCTGAGGCACCGATCTAAAAGTTTGTGTCGCTACTTTTTTTTGTTATTAGACACAATAATAAATATTTATATGCTGAGAATTGTAGATGATAGTAAAAAAATAATTTGTGAAAAAAATTTTGTCACTATACAAATTGAAGTCAAAATTAAATATCTTAAATAAAGAAGAAAGTGTAATGAATGGTAGAGCAATCTAAAAATGAGAATTTATTAAAATCGATCGCGTTCGAGTTCTACAATTAACTTACCGTTCATATAAAGCCACCAGCCGTTGACCGAGGGCGTGCCAGCCTGTATAGTTCTTTGCAAATCTATGGGTCGACCGCCTGAGTCTTGAAGTATGTACAATGACAGAACTCTATTATGCAAGTCTAAAACTCTTTCTCCAACTGCTTCAGACATTGTTACGTATCTCTTGTAACAGGACTGGAATAAATATTAATATTAGATTGTTCTTTTCGATATCTCATTTCATATTTTTATTATTAGAATTAAGCTTTTTAAAGAGCTTTAGACGAAAACACAATGAATAAAATTAAAAATTTAGTTTAAAAGTTTAGTTTCCTTCAGTTATTAATAAAAATATTTAAGTTGCAATTATTGTTTAAAACTTAACAGCTTAAGTGACCTAAATTGAATCCCGATTCCCGAACCCTTAATATTAAAATGTGGCAAAAATTCTGATCAATACATAATATAGACTTTCAAAAACGATCACCTCAATATAAATTTAAGCCTCCCAGAAATTAGTAGACGAACATAAAAATAATATTACCCAACTTCAACATACAATATACATACAATTTTTAAAACATTTTGGAATCGGTTTTAAAATACTTTACAACTAAAATGCTAAGTGCATTCAAGGTTTCATTATCTCATAGCAATATTAGACTATTTTCCAAATTAGATGTGTATCATATTTTATTTTTTCAAATGGCTCTTTGTACCTGCATAATAGATTGCATTTCAGCAAGACCTGTATCTTCAATATGCTGCAAATAGCAGTACAGACTGTTTTTAAGCAAAGCGGCAGCACCCAGGGTCGCAGTTAGAACTGGCAAGTCAGCATGGTCAAGTGCTTCTTGGGCCAGCATATGGAGGTGTTCTAATAAAAAAAATAGTGGCGGTACAACACTTGTCCTTGGGCCCAGATTTCTGTATCTGATTCGTGATCATTTTCTTAATAGCATGATCGGATTTCTGTGCCTGATACTTGATGATGTTTATAAAGGAATTCACATGCTCACATGTTTTCCTTCACCGTTGGAGATGTCTACGAACGGCGGTTAGCACCTACTTCAAAGTGCCACCTACTTGGTTATACAAAAATTACTGAGCCTCTTACTTCCAACTCGATAAATATTTTACTTTAAAATAGATTGATAATAAAAATCGTTTCAAGAATAATTATTTGACATTTTGCCAAAAATATAAAAAAATAGATAGATTTAGGAAAAGAACCTAGTGTTGATCTATTAACTGTTTCATAAACAATTTTAATTCATGTAGGTGATCCAGAAATGTAAAACCCTAACATCATCTTAAAAATGAATGTGTGTTCGCTAATATTTACCTAATAGAGAATCACTTGACTTGATGGCTAGCTGAACGAACTTATCGGGATCTGATGTTTTAGCCACACCTCCTTCTATATTATCATCTTCTAATGTCACAAACATGCCAGAGCCTTGTCTGAAAAAAATAACAATATTTTATTATGGGGTCAATATTTTTATGATTCTTAAGCAACTTACTAGGTCCGCTTTAATTTGAAACTATTGCTAAGTAACATTCTAGTCATAGGTATAAGAAGATTTTTAATATGCTATGCAGTGTTTATGAAATGTAATACACATCTTTGGAACCGTAAATAGATCATCATCATACACAAAAATCATCCATTTCCAACAATACCTGTATTATCAGTGATAAACTCCAGTTTTGAATTCAGTTAAAATGCTTTGTACTAACTAAATACAAGATTCACGGTTTCAATAACTCATATATGCAATATAAGTTATATTAATATGATATTCATAGGTTTGACAACTTAACATAACAAGTAATAAACTAATTGTAAAATCCTTTTAGATTTGATATGCGAAAGTCTTTGATTTATTACATATTATTAATTTAGGTATAAATAAAAGTAAAAATGTCACACTATTTAACTTGTAATTAATTTTTTTTTAATTTAAATTTAATTAATGTTTCAATAACACAGGCTTAAAGGTTCTCTCCCAATAATTTATATTAATTATTCATTGATATTGTATGGCAGTTGTAGGCTTAAAAAATATATAACTTCTTTTGCAATAACTAGCTAAGTTTAGAGAATACAAATTAATTTTAACAATAATAAGGAAACATAATATAATCAAGACTGTATTTGTAATCCAAGTGAATTCTTCTATTATTTACAACAATAAAATTAAATAATAATATATACATATTCTCTTCTAGGCAGTTGAAATTCTATCAAACAACATACTTAAAAGCAACTGAGAATTCCTCTTCAAGCCAAAGTACAATTTTCACAGCAGCAAATGAAGCACTCCTAGGAAAATCTAGCCTTCCTCCAACAACTCCGCTACAGATCTTTTCAGATAAGACAGTTTGATTATTCTGAAATTATAACATAAATCACTTTAAGTATCTTATTGTACCATATTATGTAAAAGTTAGTTAATAAAAACAATTGTAAATATTTATCAAATATTATGTATTTAATTTTAGTTTTTTCAAAGTACTTAGCCCTAAGACTTTGAATGAACCATAAACAAAACAAATATATTAAATGCATAGGAAACTAAATTCATGTCAGCATAATACTTTGATATGCACACAAGAGATTATATATAGTCATTAACTACACTCGCCTGATAATACTCCAAGTCCCTTTGCAACAAAATAGGGATCCTGTCCATAATATTGCCATCTTCAATAACTTCCATTTTGGCAATTAAATAAAACAAAAATGTCAAAATTCCTATCTATATTACTTATTATCCTTTCATAAACAATCAATTATAGTAGGCTATGGTTACATGATTTAAAATCAACATTTTCTATAATTTTTGAGATTTCTTCTTGTAGTAAGCGATGTAGTGGTACACCATCGTGCTTGTAAATCCAATAGCCTCCGTTTTTCAAAACAAGATCATAACGTTTTGGTCCAGAAATAGGAGAACTGAGCCAAATCTGCTTGTTAGGTGCTTGCCTGTTTAAAACATATGTTCCATGAGTTGGTCCTAGGTAAACTGTGAGTACACCATCCTAAAAACGGAAAAGAACTCGTCAAAACTTTATTCTTATAATATTCATAGTGTCAATTTAACTTTACAACATAATATTATTAAAGATGTAGTCAAATTGTGAATTTTCGATAAAATCAAAGTATATAAATTTAATGAAATAAGGTACTTACACTAAATGTTACGTCAGCTACTTTGAGATTGGTGTTTTTATCAATAATTTCTTCAAAATATTCGCACAAGGATTCTAAAGTTTCGGAACAGATTTCTTCAAATACTGATTGATCAACGCAATCAGAGGTTTCGATATTACTAGGATTTGATGAAAACTTACGGTTCGATGCTATATTATAACTAGAATGAAAAACTTTGGTCATCGGATTGCGACGAAATATAGTAGGTGAAATATTGATTCTTTTCTGCGCTAGCCAGCGACTGGTACGAAGAACATTTCGGAACATTTTCTTTTGATACTTTGTTATTGGTCTCCAATAGTTTCCGATTCAATTTATCGGGGTTTATAGTTTTCTAGTTTCTAGGGTTGCAGCTGATTTTTGTTGTTTTTGTCATTGTATGATTGTCATTGCCATTCATGCGCACGGCAGCATGGCACTGATAAACTTATCTGACTGTTGATTATAGGGATTGACATTTGACGTTTGAGATTTTGATACCTGTCAAGTTGAACTGTAGTGTACTATCTACGGATTATATTTAATTACAAAAAATAGAAGAGCATCTAGTGTATGGCAATCCGTAATGAAGACTTTTTGTAACGATACTATTGTTAGTATTTATTTATTCACAAAAAATATATACACTAACATTACAGTACTAAACCAATACGATAATTCCGAAAAAAAAAAAGAACTATAACAATATTATATATATATATATATATATATATATATATTTATCTATGCCTACGGGAGTATTCAAATACTCCCGTAGGCTTATTCTTTACTTTCAACCCTAACTTTAACTATTTAAAAAAAAAAAGGGTGCGTGTACTTATGTACGCGCGTTAGAAGTTATACTTCTTTGGCATTATTAAAAATAGTTTGGCTTTGTTCCACCTCCAGTTTTTGATGTTTCACAGCGATAAGATGAAAACTCTTTTTTTGTATTCAATTTAGTGCAGTTACACTGATTCATCAATTGTTTTTTGTCTCTTTTCCTTATATTTGCTAGATAAAATCAGAAAAATTACATGTTTTGATTAAACAATGTGGTTAATTTTTTAATCAAAACATTACTCGATAGTAATAATAATACATATACGGATAGTTAACCTCAATTGTATTGAAGCACTTAGGAAGGTTGATGAGCACAGTTTTTTCACAAATATTAATTAGTATTGGTTTAAATATTCAATTTAAATCACTTCTGATTATAATTCAAAAAGCATCGCTAAATTTCTTTGAAAAAATAATTAAAACTCCTTTATTTGTTTAAAAGGTAAATGACAAATGTCATTATGGTCATTCAAAATTGTTGGCATACGAACTTCACGCATATTCTATTTCTTTTTACTTGTAGATTGTCTTATTCCTATCTCGCTCGCGCACGCTATAATCACACTCCTAATTTTGTGTCACGGGTGCGCGCGCATTGTAAAATTTCACTCTCATAAATTTTTCATAACGCGCCTAAAGAAGTATAACTTCAAAACCGCAATAGTATTATGGACCTTCCCAACTGAGATTTGAACCCAAAAGCTCTTTATTTACAGTCAAATATATTTTATAAACTCACATTATTGACTTCAGTCTTCAGTGGCCTCTTCTTTTGGTAACATGTAAGCATTTTGAGGCGGTAACATCCAATGATTTTTTTGATAATTTGACGATAGTACTGAAATAGATTCTTCGGGTATTCTTGGTGTTGGTAGTAAAGAGTTGTACAAATTCCAGTGTGGGCTAATAAATAAAATTTGCCTATCTTGGCGATCTTTCACTTGTCTAAAGTTACAAAGATTGGGTTCATCCCAAGGGTTCCATAATTTTCGAAATGCTTTCATCTGCGAATTATTGCCCAGTTATAATCAATTTCTGTTCGTAGTTTCACTCCCAGGATAATTAGTAAATATCATATTATTAATTATAGTCTGGTAGGTATATACCAAAGTTTCTTCTGAATTTAAATGTTCTATAGTTTAAGATTAATATGATACGAACTATAAAAAGACCTTATCAATTCGTGAAAAAATTGAAGCGATTTGGGAGTTTTATAACTTTAATAATGTATTTTGTCCTCACTTGATCAAAAGAAGCAAACAATGATTTGCGCGGTACAAGCCATCTAACGACATAGTTTTCACCCCGCACTGTGTCTAAACCTCCCCAATAGAGGAAGTAATCTTCATAAAACATCGGAAGCAATCGGGACATAGGATACGGGCCAACCCGTGTATGTGTTTGTGCTTCTTGAATTCTTGGAAAGCCTTCAATTATCCAACTAAGACGTTCGTCAGGATTCACTCCGTACTACGAAATACAAGGATAGGAATGTAAGATGTTGACGCCCGATAACCCTATATATATTCTACCGGAAAACGTAAACGGACGTTGCGTTAAAGAAGTTTCGTATATTGAAAAGAAAACTACCTTTTCATATTAAAGTCACTAACACAAACAAATGAAGAACAAGTAATCATACATTAAATAAATAAAATAATGTTAAATTTTTCACGTACTTTGATCATATAACACACCATAACAACTCCGTCATTGTGGCGTAATGCTTCGTCTTGTGTCATGTAATCCGCTTTAAAAAATGTCACCTATAAAAGTTTAAGGTCGATTCAGCGGTTTTTCACTAAAAATTAATAGTTAATCCCGATTTACTATTACATATTGATTCTCTGATGATTATTTTACTGGAGAAAATTCCCGGTATAAACTCCAGCTAGTTCAAGTTTACTTCATTTTATTCGAATTTGTTATCCCAAGCACTTAATTACATAACATTCTAATCTACGAGTACAGATGTTAGTTTATATATCAGAAAATGCCAATGCATTTAGGAATAGGAGTAAAAAGGTAAGGTATAGGCAACGTAAGTATAACGCGTGAATTACTTACAATATTTTTAGAGTGATTGAGGGTGATTTCTAGTATGAATTTCGAAATTTTCGACAAACTTAGTTCTATAAACAAATCTATTAAGTAAAACCTGCATTTCACCAGGATATCGCCTTTTATCGACTGTATGCTCACTACCTTCCATCATATTTTTACCCCAGTGAAAATGGACTTGTGACAGTACATGTTTTTCTAAAAACGGCCCTCCCTCCAAATATGGACGTTCTGTCCGCCATTTTGCCCCAAGTATCACTAAAAATAAATTACAGCTAGCTAAAAATATGTTCAGTTAGAATTACACATTGTATAGATTTAATTAATTTTGACGTCGAAACCCTTTATTGGGATCACTTTAATTAAAGGCAGTTATAAATATAGTAGTAAAGCGTGTTAATTTCAAATCTTACCCTGGCTTGGTCATCGCCCCGACGGTGCCAATTTATTTATTTCAATCATATACATAGATAGTTTCTATTAACATTTGCTCGTACGACCAAAGAAAATATTGTGGGGAAAACATTTTTAAAAATGTTGAATGCCTGCTACTTTTTTTCGGATAAATAAATAAAAAGAAGACAAGGTATTTGACCTTTGAAGAAACAACGTTCTTTTAATCTCCTAAAAAGCCTGTCACTTCTGTGAAAAAGGTAAGCTGGGGTGTGTGAATTCGATGATTTTAGGATGAAATAAATTTAGGGATATGCTTGTCGGTGTAGAAAATTGGAAAATCTGTGTGATAGGATACGACGTATCTAAATCGTTTAGAGTGCCATTATAATAATAATTTTTATTTCGCTTGACGCTTTCCTACGCTAAAATAAATAACTGCGCATATAGAAAGAAAATCTGTAGGTCTCATTAGGGTCGTCGACCTCTGAGTCGCGCGGCATTTAATTAGCTACCAAGACTTACAACTAGTGCACTATTAACCACCTGTGTATCCAGTATTCGTCAATTTTATTTTATGCGGGTAGACATCGAAGTTGTACCACTTAAGTTCCGGACACGGGTAGTATAATGATGCTGCAATAGATACATTGATCGGTGTCGGTAGGTGTCCTTCTGTTTCACTCAAGTAGTAAATCCAAGCTACACTGCCATATTGAGGTACATTTTTAACTTCTTCCTTAGGTGCTTCCTCCTCCTCTATAATGAAGTTTATTCATTACAAACATACGAAATATAAGACCTTCCTCTTTATAATATTAGAATAGAAAAAAATTAAGTGTCAGAAACACATTTTAATGGTATTTAATACGAGTGATTGTCACAAGTTTGATTTGGATTACAAGCGAATGTATGTATTTGATACCCAATATGAATGAAAACAGTCCTAAGTCATTTACAAAGAGCGTTTGGAAATGACTTCGAACTGTTTAGAAAGTTATTTTCTTGGAATATATTATAAGAATATTTGTATTCCTTGGTTGCGCTTGGAATATTAAAACATTTTTACCATGTCTAATGCCTTATTGTGGTAGGTATAATCGTACATGTTAGTATTTTATAACGTAACTAAATTCGGTTTCTGTAGTACCTGTTTGTGCGACTGCCGCGGCTTTTAACATTATAAATATAACATAATAATTTAAAGTCGAAATTAATACACAATTTTTTTTGTTTACAAGTTTTCAAATCGAAATAATAACGTCACATACTGTCACAATATACTGATGTGACTTTGAGATGACAAGCACGTTTTGCTTTATAATTTTTAATAGATATTATGTTATAATAATCAGATACCTAATGGTGCTTCTAAACGGGCCATGTTTTGCTTCAATTGATGGCTGCAACACTGTGGCCCGGCAACATTGCAAACAATAGCAGCCACAATATGCAATATTGCAGTAATGTCCCTGCCATATAGCCAAACATGTTTTGTATAGCCACATATGGCCGATGTTGCCCCGATGGGTGGCCGAACGATCTCTAGGCTATCGAATTCAACTCCAATATTGCATAGCCAGTTCTATTGTTGTTTCAGTCACTCTCTTTGTTATGGTATAGTGAATCCTTTCCTACGCGAAGAGTGAAGTGTGCCTGTTGCTATATTCTGTGTTTTGCGATCAGCTGCATTTTGACGTTAGGTTACTACGTACAAATGACTGCTTTTGACATTCTAGTAAAGTTCTTGAATAATTTATTATCAAGGCTTATTTCTAGACTCAAATTGTCTACAGTTTCACGCCTATTTAAGTAAGGTCGAATGAACAATCTCTTCTTTTTCTGTTTTTTTTTAAAACAATATAAGCTGCTGCGACAAGTGTGATTTCGTCAGCCATTGTTGCCGGTTTGTGTAGCCCGTTTAGGAGTCTGCATCATGGGCCATACTATTGCAGACATATTGCAACACATTGTAGATATATAGATTGTTCGACCATCAGCTGCATTAAAATATTTTTGTAATGGCCGGGCAATTAGTTGCCAACAGTGCAGCCATCAATTGCAGCAAAACATGGCCCGTTTAGAAGCGCCATAAGAACAATTAATTATGAATGTCAAATTCATGGTTGAAATGACACAGATGCAAAATGATTATATTGTTTATGCATACGTAGCGACCAAAAACTACCACTTAATACATTGACTTGATTTGACACTTGTCGATCAAAGTAAAAAAATATTGCTATTGATATTACTAAGATATTTTAATTTTTAAAATGCAAAACCAAGAATTTAAACCAAAATATAAGGAGATGGAAGTTTATCCGGATAGAGAACTCTTAGTGTGGGAAAAATGGATAGAAATTAGAAAAGAAGAAACACTGCATTTGGCACAAAAAACTGATAGACCACCAGCCGACCTCACTATGAATATTTTAGAGAAAATACGTGAGGATAAAGAAAGAAAAGTCGTTCTGGAACATGCCCAAATCGAGAAAAAACCGACAGTACGTGGTTATTTGTGGGAACAACCACAGCGGCTAAAACAATGTTGCTATTGTGAACCTGTGTACGAAATACAAAGAACAAAAGAAGAAAAGGGCCTTCCTCGAGTTATACAACATATAGGTGTACCGAAATACATACAAGAAACAGAGAAAGGTATTATTGGGGTTCCAGAACGAAAACCATGCGTAAACTTGGACCACGAGTACATGCAATACCGAGAAAAAAGGGAACAAGAGCTTAAGGAGCAGATAAAAAAAATCGATCCATTCAGGTTATAATGGTTTTTTTATACTTATGATAGATTTTATGAAATAATTAATAAGTTAATTTTAAATATTTTTGGTTTTTACAGACCGGATATAGACGAATTATTAGTAAGAGGCAGTAAACCAAAAACACCACCTCCAAAAATACCGCCTTTGCCAAAAGTGACGCTTTCTACCGTAATAACTCGAGGAGATGAAGCAACCTGTTCTATTTACGCTCTAAAAATAAACAACTCTCTTTTCATCAAAGATATACATGATCAAAAAATATCTCATTTGCGAGCCATGCAAAATGAATCATGGCATGAGTCTTGTAATACATGGTCATATTATTTTAATACACCAATTAGTCGAGCTGGCAGGTGCAAACTTTATCTACAAAATCCAGGAACAGTAATGATAAAATACTGTTGGAAAAAGATAAAACGATCACTTCCATTTATTCCCGAAGAACCTCTAGAACAAGTATTTTTCTTTAATAAAAATGAAGGTAGTTTATATCCTGGCCAAGAAAAAGAATTATGTTTTACGTTTATATCAGACAAACCTGGAATATACAATGAAATATGGGAGCTAAGTACTACCAACATCTGTTTTTTTGATACTCTCACTGAAAAATTGGTAATTAATTTAACTGGTGATTCGGTTGAAAATATAGAAAGATTGATAAGAAAGGCCAGGAAGCTAGAAGGAAAAATAAATCATGTTGCCTCACGAAATATTATTATGAGCTTAATTGACGATACCATTACTAAAGCAGTTAGTATTAAACCAGAAGCTTATCCTTACAAAAAGCTACTTCTTGAAAGAGACATGTTCATAATGAAAAATCCTGTCTGTTTCTATCATCAGACAGAAGTTACAAATCTCAGAGATTTATATTCGGAAATGCTAACTAATGAGACATGGGATCTCTCAATAACAAGCTGGAGAAGTGCAATGGTAGAAAAAGAATACGACGACCGAATGAAATATTACGAGCTTCTTAGGAAATCCCACCTTCATTTACTTAAACCTTGGTTTGAAGATGACGATCTTATACAAGACAAATACCGAGCTGTTAACATTCTTCTTGGGCAGTTGTTTGACAAATTTGATTATGAGTACTTTAGAATTCGGCAATTAATTCTTAATCTACCCGAAGGTGATGTGTCAGAAACGACAACTGTTTCTAATATTTTCTTGGAGACTTCACCAATGGATTTCACAATACGAAACATATTCTATGTAAAAATGTATGAACACCTTGCAACTACAATGGAGACGTGTGCAGGAATTTTAAGCAATTTGGATTTAAATAGATGGCTACAATTTGATTTTTGTAGATGGTAACATATTAGTCATGCAAATCTGTATAAATTTGGTTGGTCGATTTATTTTTCATTTTTTAATAAAGAAAACATCAAATCATTTGAAATAAATATAATACAATAACAAATATTTGGTCACAGTTTCGCTTTCACTTGTTTAACGTAAATAACGGAGTGTCCGGGTGGATGCCTTTGAGTGGGCCTTACATTCCGTTCGATTGGCGTTTTATCGACACCCTCCAATTGCCTTAAAAGTCCCAGCTGTAAAGAGAATATATACAACATCTTTTATTTTTGATCTTCCTAATACTGACAGTTTTATTTTTTATAAAGTAATTAAGTTCAGTCGAAAGCATTCATAAATTGTACCCATGTCAGATAAGTTCTTAAAGGGATTGTCCCGCATTCAACTGGCCACATGTTTAGAACCATTTCTAAATTGCTATTAAGTAAAACTAATATGAGTTTACAGGCCTAGGAATTAATGTTTTACTTAGGAATTAGACAGTTAAAAAATAGAAGTACGTCAATCTTTATAAATTTATAGTACTTTTGGTTTTTTAAGTAAGACCGAAAGATTAGAATTTTACACCTGGATTTTAACTACCTAAGACTTTTTGGTTTGTCATAAGATTTTAATTTTTCACTGATGGTGTTTAGGCAAACGAGTCATATTCAATAATTTTGCTTATCAATGATACAATTTTTAAACGACTATGTTAATTATTTTATTTAATTTTTATATTCTTAAGACAATACATTTTCATATGACGTATATTTGTATGTAGAAAATTCCAAAATCTCTTGGGACAAACATGCTAATTCAAAGATAAAGCAACACTATTTTTCCTGATTTATATATAAGATTTTTTTTATCTAAACAATAATAATATGTTTGGATTAAACAAATGTATACAAGGACTTTAGCCTAAACGACCCTTATTTCTATGGAAATCCCCTGAAAACTAACCTGTTCGCTACCAATCTGGACTGGTTTCTCATATATGATCCAAGTAACACATTCTGTGTATGGCGGCGTTGTTAATGATCCTTTGTACGTGACGTAGCTACCAGTTGTTACTTCCGCTCGATCCATCCAAGCTAATGACGCTGGAAGTAGAGGAACTCATGTAGTAAGACTTATATGAGGACCAGTGTTAGCTTAGCAAGGCCTGCGACTCGAGATCCTGTGGGCGTACCTTTGATGCCCTACTGTTCACTGATATGTGCGTATTTATGACTGGTGTATGGGCAATATATCATATGGGAAGGATAACATCTAGAGGAATCCTAAGATCAAAAAACTAACGGCGCTTGTCAAGACACGAATATCAAGGAAAGAGCGAAACAGAAATCTGACGGCAAATCCAATAGTAGTACCTCCAATCGCTTCTTTATTTTTTATAGAAAATATCAGACTATGGCTTTTATTGTGCTTTTTGTTTAACTATCGAACGCACTGCAGATTCATGAAGATAAAGATTCTAGCATTTCCTCTGTAAGTGAATTCTTTTTAAGTATCAAAGTTAAAAAGTAAAATCTGTTTCATGAAAAAGATTATAGATAGAAGAGGATTTTACTAAATATATATTGCTCTCACAAGTCGCTAAAAGGGCACACGGTATGAGTTGTTCTAGACCAGTGTTCCCCCACCGTGGGGCCCACGCCCCACTTGGGGGGAATTTGATTGTTAAGGGGGCTATTCGAAACTTGAATTTCAGTTTTTATTTATTTTGAAAAATTACGGTTTCGTTAACTATTTCCTAGTCATTTCTTCCTGAACACGGCACGGCAAGAATAATGTTGGGAAACACTGTTCTAGAAACTGCGTTCACTTCTTTCATCTCCAGCATACATTTTTTATTGCATTATACAAATCTCAGACCCGCACGTGAGAGTGGTTCATCCATTTGGTTGGATTATGAGGTTAAATTCCGTGGTACCAAGTATAAAATGAAATTATTTTATTATAATCTATTTATGGCCTAGGATGTTCTTTCTAAACTTAACCACTATAACCACTCACCCGAAGGTAATTGAACAGCATTATCTTGCTTCTTAATCTGATCCAAGGCTTCAACAAACCAGTCAAAGCTTGGGTTAGGTGCATCCACTGCTTCTAGAAGAAATCCCACGACTGCCAAACCATCAGGGTTTGCCACAGCTGCCTCCATAGATTCATATTTACTATTGTAATGTACGAGATGACATTCTGCTGCATATCTGAAAAAAATATAGTCTGATTTTTCATTCCGTAGAATTCTGACATTTAATAAGTGTTGCTACAAACAAAGTTCTCCACCGAATAAGGGACAATTTTGAGGCAATTAAAAATAAAATTGTACGTTTTTTATGTTGCCTACAAAAAGGTAAATCTAAATATTTACTTACTCGAGTGATCAAATACAAAAATTTCAATATCACGAATTAACTTTAATTACTTTATTTTATTCTTTAGCTGGCGTCACTGCCTACTAATTCCAGGTTTAGTAAACCTTTAAAAAAAATGTTATCATTGCTTGTGCGTTTTTACTGGTTGTGATGAAAAGGGACGCAATTATCACTCGCCGTAAAACCACTTTTAATGTGAGCACCGCACTTAATAAAATATATACATTCACTGACAATTAAATTGTATGTATAATGTATATACTCAGATGTTCAGACTCGTCGTGAAACTGAAAAATGTGCCCAGCCAAAAAAAAAGGTTTGTAATCTCTGACTTGTCAAAACCTGATAGCTGTCAGAATTCTACGGAATTAAAAATCAGAGTAGGTATAGGTACCGTTGCCCGTATTTCATCGCTACCCCCTTCATCAATCATCAAATTTAAGAGACGTATTAAACAGTATTGAGTTAGTTAGTTCAGACGTTAAGTAAACGTCAAAATTATATCAAACTATTCTTGTTTAAGCCTATTGAGAGAGAAGATGGCGGAAATTTATGATCAGCTGCTATTTGCTAATTTAAGAACATTTTGTAATAGTTCTTTCGTTGCAGATGGGTCTATTAAAGTGGATATGTTTGAGGCAATGTTTCTTTTTGAATTCAATTATGTTTTACTATCACAAATCTACAGCGAGAAGTTAGTTTGTTTTGTTTAACGCGTTTCAGGAACTTCTGGTTTCGTAACGGAAAAATATTTTTGCATTCATTTATCAATATAGGTATTGAGAGGTCATTATTGTCTTTGTAGTTCTGTGTAGAACTCGATAATATTAAAAAAAATCTTCAAGTTTTATCATAAACGATAAGGTTTGGGTTATTATAGTGTTAAACGTATAAAAACATATAATTCAGATCATTTATGATCTAGATTCTAGATAATGACTCATCTAGATGAATTGCGGAATATTGTTCTCGTCAAAGATATCCCAATTATGTTCTATATTGAAAACTTTTATATCGAAAAATAACGACAGGACGAACTTAATCAAAAGCGAATTATTATGTTTGCATGAATATGCTCGTGAGTTAATCTGTATAGAATTAAAAGTCAACTACTAGTTAAGACTGCATTGATATACACTAACGTAACGTAACGTTTTTCGAGTAATTAAAGTGTAAATTTTAATTAAAAGCTCAAAATTGTGTAGCATAGTTAAAAAAATTTTTTTGCATTTTCTGAGAAGATGTACTATAGTAATATGTATATTTTTTTTCCCATCGGCAAGTAGAGATTTCAACGAACAGAAAGCACACCAACTTTTTGAAAAAAGCTAATATTTTGACGGGTGAATTTTCGATTGAAAACTAGGATGCTTTTTCGATATTAATTCAAAATAAGGGGAAAAAATAAATATTTCAAATCAAATAAATTACAGCGTATTTAGGACATAAAAAGGACAAGTTTGAGGTTATGTGAAAAAATTGTGAAAACAAAAGTTTTAGATCTTTTTATTATCTACAACTTTGCCATTTGACTTTTTTCCATAGGATTTTTAGTTTTTCCGGAAATCGAGATAAACCGTTTTTACCCTTAAAAACTCACCCCCTTCCCCTTCCCGACCTCAGATCGCCCGTAAATTATGTTTCCTTTCATTTTAATAATATTCTCCTCCTTTCCCAATGGCTTTCATCCTACTATTATTTTTTTTGTTTTCAAAAATTATCGACCCTGGTCTAATGAAAATATTGAAAAAAAAAGAACTTTGAAACAAAGACACTTTTTAGAGACGTTTCACAAATTTCACTCGAATTGCCTAAGGGTAAATGATAATGTTTGAATATGAAAAGCCATAAAGCCTAAACTGACTAAAATAAATACTAACCCATGTCCATCAAGCACATGTTCGCAGCCAGTGAAGTCATCAACCGACCAATGAAAGTGCATCTGCTCAAATATGTACTCCCCTATCAGCGGACCACCACTCAGTATCGGCCGTGTTGCAGAGTCAAATGTGAAATATGCTAAAACAGTATTACAGTCTATTTAGTTTATCAAATATATAACGATTTTTATCAAAGCTTTCTGACGGAATGTGAATTAGTTTCAATAAAACTTTTTTATCCTATATTATTACATTATTTACATGACTCAATGTCTCTAGTGCTATATATCATGGTCAGCTTATGATGTCTTTTTTTTATAGAACACGGGCAAGAGGCTCACCTAATGTTAAGTTACCGCCGCCCATGGACACTATGAATGCCAGAGCTCGCGGATCGTTACCGGCCTTTTAAGAATTGATACGCTCTTCTTGAAGGACCTAAGGTGCATTGGTTCGGAAATCCTTCAGTGGGCAGCTGGTTCCACTTAGTGGTAGTACGCGGCAGAAACTGCCTTAAAAAATGCTCAGTTGTGGAACGACGGACGTCGAAGTGATACGGGTGGAATTTCGTATTATGCCTCGACGTCCGATGATGAAACTCAGCTACAGGTATTATCCGAACAAATCCTCTTAACTCTCTGTCTTTATACTTGTGTTAACCAAGGATTGTATTATATTGTACCGTAATAATGAATATATACTAATTAAGATTTTTTTAATAAATAAATCACCCGACTCCTGACTGTTTTATTTGGAAATATAAAATAAACAGAAGTGTTAAAAGCGAAAAAAAAAGCGTTAAATTATTCAAGTGCTCTTTAAGGTAATTGTAGCTCCTCTACCGTAGATGCTTCAATAAACATTTTCATAAAGTAAAAAGGAAAAATATTTAATTATACACATCATTTTAATAATAATCATTTCTATATAGCTTTGTTTAACAACAACATGTAGTATAAAGGAATTCATATGTGTGTGTGTGAACATAAAGAATAACATGACATCTAAACAAGATCGTAAAAGTGGAGATCGAGCCAGATGAAGATTGCAAATAACAAGGAAGACTTAGAAAAAAGCATTCTGAAGTTTTACGACCCAGATGAACTTCTAAAATTCAATTAACTAAGTAGACGTTGCGGACCCAACATTCCTTTGAAATTATACCTACATTTACTTAATATATTGAAATATGTTTATCAACAAATCATTAGCTCGAGAGGACGAAAAATTAAAAGGCCGGCAACGCACTCGCGAGCCATCTGGCATTGAGAGTGTCCATGGGCGTATCACTTAACATTAGGTGAGCCTCCTGCCCGTTTGCGCCCTGTTCTATATAAAAGAAAAATAACTAATGACAAAAACATCATGCATCTTTTTTCTAATTAAAATTGTTGTGTGCTACCTAGTTTAGGAGAGTGTAGGAAGATAAACATATTCAGTAGCTAATGTTTTATTGCGTGCGGGACGAAACGACCGGCGCTACCAATTGTACGCTACACACTGTCGCTATACAAAGTGAATGGTATAAATAAATCCCTACAACAGTTTTCTTACCTAAATAATGAAAGAAAAACATTTTTCAGTGTCAAGTTGTTAGAATAGTTCTTGAATGACTAAGGGTGGATTCGATCAAACAAGAGTAAATCTTAATTATTTTATTATTTCATTTATTAACACTTCGTTGCATATACATTAATATAGTACAATTGACATAAATAAATAAAAAGGATAGCAAATGGCGGCCTTATCGCTTTCGAGCGATCTCTTCCAGGCAACCACTGTGAGAAAAAAAAAAGTATTAAATTACATAAGGTAGGCAAAAAGTGCAAAAATACATGTATTACAATATATAGTTGTTAAGAAAAAGAAACAAAACAGGAACAAATAATCAAACTAAACTAATAAAGGATACATGAAAAAAAATAATAAAAAGTGCACATGAATCATTATAATTTAATTTCAGAAATTAATTTAATTTAAGATCAGTCTCACGTCAGTTAGTAGGTATTATTAAAGTTAGGGATACGATGTGGACAGTTAATGTTTGTACAGAAGAAATTTAAAGGAAGATAGAGAAGGAGCTAAGCGAATAGGGACTGGAAGTGAATTCCATAGCTTAACTGCAGAGACCTTAAAGGACTCGCCAAGAAAGGAGGAGTTATGACATGGCATTTCAAGGATATAGTTTTCGGAAGAGCGTAAGCTATAGCTATATTTATCTTAGAATAAATCGTCAAAAAGTGTGGATTTTGACATTCGTTAAGTCGAATGTTACTTCAGGTTACAGGAGTTAGAGGGTTTTATTTATTATAATTTTGTTTAATTTTTTTTTCTTTGATTATTCAGTGGCTGGTAAAACTCTTTACCAGCACGGATGGAAAACCATAAACATTGAGCAATATTGGAATAGTCAATATAAGCAGTAAAGTTTAAGATTTGATTTAAATATTATTTAATTTCAATAAAGTAAATTAATTCATAATGGCAAAGATGGAAAATCTATATAAATAACAAATTCATTAGTAATTTAAAGTTTTAATTTTCCGCATGGACAATTATCAATATCAGACTAAAAATTTTGCGTGCCTTTAAATTTTTAATTAATACTATTTTAAGACGGTTAACTACCACTTTGTTCATCTGAAACATTTAACATATTACTCAAATATTTATTATATATAAATGTTATATAACATTGGTATCAGACTTAAAATAATCAATCAGAAAAGTAAGAACATTACGTCTCTGATGACGTTTTGACATGTTTATCATAATTTTTCAAAGTATATAAAATTTACATAATATCCAGTAGTGACTGCTTAGTATTATTTATTGAAATGTGACTTATTTGATAAGATAATTCTATAGAATTTCCAATATCTTATCTCAGTTCATGACTGATTTGGTTAAATAGTTACATTGTTGTCTCGCAAGCGCGTTTGCTAACTTATAAAGGTTAACCACATTTGTTCACCAAATCTTTAAGTTCATGCTTTTAAGTGCAAGTAATTGTACGTTATGGATAAGCAGACATAAATACAATTGTAAGACTATAAAAAGGGCGAAAATACGAGCTTACTATTCCCACAAATGTAGCGCTTTATTTACTAAACTTAACTGATTAAGATAAAAGTCAACTTTTGCGAAACAATTTGTTATTTGAACGTTAAAATATAGCCCTCATTATTTTAAGAGTCTCTAAGAGAGACATTCTTTGAATATTTTTAAGTGTTTAGTCTCATTTAAGTTTCATACAAATATTGCTTAAAATATGACACGAAAGTACGAGAATATAAATGTTAGGAAATGCTTGGATTATCAGGAAATGTTCTGATCGAGTCAGTTGACCGTTGACTTTTATTGTTGCTTTGGTAATCATTGAGATTAAATTTGAACTGCGCCTGAGCAGCGATAGACTTTTCCATCTATAAGCGGAGTTATCACTCACCCGTGCGATGAACTAAAACATCGTGAGGAAGGCATGAAAAAGTCGTCAGCACGTATCAAACACAGAAGGCTGATCACCTACTTGCCTATTATATATAAATCTCACGAAACAGATATAGAATTCTGAATCTAAGACCAAGATTGTAGCGTCATCGGTTATTTATTAATTTTAATTTACCCGTCTGTCCAGTGTTAAGAAGAACCCCGTGGGAGTCATTATTCCAGTAGCCTTTGAACTTTAGAGGGTCTAATGATGACCAGGTCGGACACCGGTTCACTGATATTGCTATGGGTGACTGTGATGCTCGTAATTTAGATATTTGTTCAGCTGAAACAAATCATTAATAAGTTTATATTGCAAATAATGCGTACGAAATTACCAAATAAATCAGTTTAATTTTTAATTATAGTTGTGTTATTTAACCATAAAGTAACAGACTTCGTTTTTAATGTAAAGGGGGAACGGAGAGTCTGATCACCGGATGTAAGGTGATTTGGCTAGTCATGGATTTGTACAAGGAAGCGTTCAAGTATTACGTAACGAAGTTTGGGGGGGAGGTCCTTTTGTAAAACGTTACGATGCGGGGCGGGGATTAAATTACGCATTACTGTTAATATTATTTTCGACTTTCCAGTACTTTAAACCACATTATGGTAACTTTTAGGTTTAAAGAGTCACTGGGTGGTCACGAAACGTTTTACTATTGGGTACAGAAAAACGTTACGGTGCGTTACATGGGGGGGGGTCAATAATCTCCAAAAATTGCGTGACGTAATACTTGAACGCTCCCCAAGGTAACAGTAGAGTAAATGGCAATAACAAACATTATATAGCACAACTAAGTATGTTTGAAGACTGAAGAGAAACAGCGTAAATAAGCGTTCTTTTGACATTTTGTCTTAAAGAATCCTAGGTAAACTTAATCTTTGGTCATAGATCAGACAATGATAAGTACATAAGACAACGATAAACATTAATATATCGAGTGTTTCATATAATATAATATAATATATAATATTTAATTGCTTGTCCTGTAAAGTAATGAAATTGCATTTATCATATTCTGACCTATGGCCACAGATTTATAAGTCCTATAACAACATGTATGTTTAAAATATATAAGAAAATATGACTTCGCAAATTTTACACACATAAACATCAATTATGTTAGAGCATAAACATTTCAAACTAGCAAGGAAAAAATTAAATACAGCAAACTGCAAAAAGAAAAACTAAAACTAAATAGAAACTTACACTTCATTAAGAGCGTGATACAAAAAATTACGGTAAGTAGGAAGATTGTTGTAAAATATATCAATATTTTCAGTAATGTTAATAATGAAGTTGTAAGAGCGAGATTGCCTATTGACCGGAAAAGATAAGCGAGCCCTAGGTGTATATATAGAAGACTTTTAGATTTTGTAAGTCTTGGATTACAAAGTTGTATCGGGAATTCCGGCCGGATTTAGAGTAGGGCAACCGGGTTATAGCCTTCACAAAAGAGGGCCCATGAAATGTCAATAGTTGACGTAGAGATTTCGAAAAAAAAAGTTTAAAATTCCGACTTGTAAACACTAGTAAACGACTTTTCTTTTGATATAATTTTATATGTTTGTTAATACTTAAAGAATCTGCTTGGTTTTATAATAAAGTCGAGAGATCGCTCTCTCTTGCTGAAAGCGATAAGGCCAGTTGGCCTCCTTTTCATTTATTTATGTTAAATTTTTATTATGTTAATGCAACGAAGTGTTAATAATTAATTAATTAATAAATTATTTATTGAAAAACTCGACTGAAAAAATTTATCATTTTATTTAGAAAATAATTTGGGGCCAGGGGGCCTCCACTCTTTTGTTGCCCCGAGAGCTCTAAATCCAGCCCTGGTGCTACACGGAAATGTATCAATCAAAACGTTCGAAAGGGGGGCCTCATAGCCTAGCGGTCTTATTAAGTGGCAGCTAGGTGAGGGATACCGGGTTCGATTCCCGGTTCGAGGGCAAGTTTTAATTTAATTTAAATTTGTTCACGGCCTTTGGGAGGGTTGTGCGGTACCGGGCAAGTGCTTAAACCGTACATGGAGGACACGGTCGAATTTCTAAAGACAAAGCACGAATTATAAAAAAATTCTATACTTGAAGCTGGCTAATGCACAAATCGTGCCAGTGCCATTAATAAAAAAAATTTAAAAAAAAGTTCGAAACCTCAGACGATGTGATATAAGTATTTTCCATTTGATTATGATAAAAGCCACCATTGATTAACATACAAATACCAGATTGTTTATCTAATTCGTTACGATCATGACTTTCAATGAAAAGTATTGCAAATTATAGGAAATATGTGAGGCCTAGTTATCTTTATCGATAATTTTGTTATTAATTACAAAACTATTTTATGATAACCAATCATGGACGACACACAGATAAGAAAAACTTAGTTTACAATTAATTTTATTTTTTAATATTACATCTTTTTTACTATATTTATTTACTATATTATATACTATTAAAATTTAAAAAAAAATTAAAAAGTCAATATTTGATAATTTTTAAGCGTTCATCTACTATTATAGAGAGGAACAATTTGATTTTTTGTTTGTTTGAAATGAATAGGCTCCGAAACTACTGGACCGATTTCAAAAATTCTTTCACCGTTGGCAAGCTACACTATTCCCGAGTTACATAGGCTATGTTTCATTTTCAAAAAAAATTGGGATGCTTACTAAAACTTGAATAATCTAACCCAAGGTGTAAAAAAATAAACAAATTCCTTCAATCGCGTGCGCTGCGAAAACTATTAATGATAGAACAAAATGATGTATAAAAATTTTTCAGGACACATCACTATCTTAAAAAAAATGTCGCGACAACATGTCTCTATCTTTTACAGTTACGTCACAATAAGCGTCCTTTTATTAATTTATTTTTTATTAAAATACCACCGCTAGAAAAGGCTCTTTATTCGTACCTAGGTATTGATCCATATCAAAATAAATACCAACGTTTCACATAAGCTACAATTTAGTTCCATAAAGACCAAAAAAGCATGGTGGATTGGTGTTCTCCTACCGTTTCTCTTGAATAGTTTACTACTATGTAATATAACAAAAATCTTAGCCACAGCGACGCTTGGCCGAGTCTACTAGTACAATATAAAGACTTAAGAATTACATCTCTATATTGGTTAAGAACGCGAAAGTTGAAATAAAAACTCTATAACAAATTAAATTTAGGCCAAACCAATGAAAACTTAATTCCAAAGAATAATTTAAGTTAAGCTGTCAAAAAATTACAATAAAATAAATATATTTTACCATCCGATGTCGCGGCAGTTTTTGAACTGGACACTTTTAATCCCATATTAGTATCCATGTTTACTACGTCTAGTTTACAACTGCGAATTTAAGAAAATGATTCGTTTTGAAGGTTGTATCTAATCTAAGATTGCTTTATCTTTTATTGATTATTTGTTGGGCATGCTAATTTTGTTATCAGACTTTGGAATAAGTGTAATGAATTGTTTCTATCCAACTTCTGGATTGTACCTACTGTTTAAATCAACTACACTAATATATAGAACTGTAGATTTTGTTGAACGCCGTAATCTCGGGGAATCCCTAATCACCCTAATCTTTATTGTTTCTTTTTTGTGTATCACGCTTCGACCGAATAAACCAGATGTAACTGCAGGAAATGACTTTACGAAAAATTGGCGAATGGCTATTGATAAATTAAGGTTCCAACTATCGCTCACTACCTACGAGTCTTTTTAATTGTTTTGTATTCCCTCTATTCTATATATGTAACCAATAAACACGAGCACAAATTAAAAATTCTATGAACTCCCTCGAGCCTTTTTTTGTAGTCCACAAAATATTTAGTATTTTATATTTTAGACAATGTAGGAAAAAATTATATTTTAAATATTTTTTTAGTAAAGGACATTAAATAATTAATGTTATATAAGAACGACTTTTTAATTATTAATAATTTCCACATTGATCATTCGACATTACGACCTGAATGTTAAGATTTCGTATGAAAAAAAAAGGCTATTAAAAAGAGTGGCGGAGAGTTTATTGCCAGTACTTCTCTTCCGTTCTACGCCTTTGATTTGAGAACTGGCAGTAAATTAGAAGCATTTCATATATATGTTTATTTTGTGACGCTCATAAGTGTACATTTTGTTACCTATATTAATAAATGTTTTTTTAATTTGAAATTGAATTAATAGTTTTATCATGGGTTTTACGTTTACGCCGCGTAGGCATTAATATAACTTCACTTAAGTACTCATGATATAATATATTCTTTAAACTTCCTCTATAAAAAACTTATTAAAATAATCTTACTCGATAATAGCAACCTAAAACAGACTTTTCAGCTTGATAATATTAATTTTATTAGACAAAAAAGATAAAAATTGCTTTTTGTTACAATCCAGTGATTCCGATGGAGATCGTGGCTCAGATATCGTACCTTTTTAACGGAAAAATATGCAATGATTTTATATTAAAATTGTTCCGTTTTAGATTATGAGACGAAACGAGACCAAACCTATTAAAATTTTACTTACAGTTTCGCAGCGCTATCTTATATTTTACTTTATATTTCTGGCTTTTTTAATTTCAAATTTATTTTTTGAATCCTCTTACTAATAGTAATTAAGTACAAATATAAGGCATGCTGGGCTTGCCTGTTACAGGGTGTGAAATTAGTTTTCATTGTTATTTTTGATTTTTGTATTTGTTAATTCCTAGAGGCAAGATTATACGTGCTTCTCTTGATAGAATGCTAACGCGACCCCAAGTTTAACCAATAGTGACGTGATGTGTGGGAGGTTTTAGTGTGTATGGCTAGCGAGACACCCACTCTGTCCGGAATTTAATTCGCATCGGTAAAAGAAAAATTATGTAAATTTCTATTGTAATCCCCGATGGCAAACCTGTTTTTAAATAAATTAAATAATAAACTTACCGAGTTTTTTCGCCGGAGGAATGTCTTCGGTTCTTTCAATACCAGTCACTTCCTTTTTATTATGAACTAAAATTTCATTATCTTTGTCAGTGGGCCCTTTTAAGCATTGTATTTGAAAATAATTATGATCTTTTTCGTCTTTGCGCGTAATAGCCGATTTTGTAAGATGAATTAAGTTTTTTTCCAAGTTCTTCAGTTTCTCTCTTAGAGACCTGTTCTCCGATTCAATAGCTTCTAATTCAATTTCAATATTACGATCAATGTTAAATCTAGTAGTTTCATTTAAACCATACATTTTCGTTTTAATTTCTCTGAATTCTTTACGTAATTTCTTTAAGGTATCCATTTGAGCTTTCGAGATGGTTTCGAGAAATTGAATGATTTCCTTTTGAAATTCCCTCATAACACTTCGTATATATGTTTCTTCAGATTTGCGTTTTCTTGAACTCATTGTGATTTCTATTACCTTGAAGTCCCATTAGCGGCAATTCATTCAATTGGACCGACAAAGACGTGATCATTTGCAGTGTTCATGATACATATTACATAATAAATACAATATACATATGTAAACGAATATTATAAAAAAATCAACCTAAAACTACTGATTTATACATTTACTGCACTAATTTATAAGAAATGTCAATAATTGTCAGTAATTGACGTTAGGAAATAGTGTCATAATTATGACACTATTTCCCTAGATGTAAAACAGAAAATAAATGGCTAATCAACAATATACCTACATAATATTCTGTAGTTAAAAGATAATGGCTTTCGTGAACCACACATTTACGATCTACGAATTAAACCTATAAGAGACTTACGTGTCCCAGGACATATTTTTGACCGTTGCTAGTTTTTGTTTTGAATTTGATTGAGAACTGGCCCTAATGTAAAATTAGAAGCATTAATATGTATTTCTTTACTGACAAGTCATAAGTGTACAATGTGTTACCCATATGATTAAATGATTTTGGAATTTTAATTTTAATTTTTGATCGTATTATGGTCATAGAAAAACTTCCTATAGCATGAAGCTGTGTATAGATTATATAACATCTCATATCGTTACCGACACTAGTACTTTATTATCAGGCTCGTAAACTACTGATTTTACACCCATTATTCATAAAAACTAAATCAGTCTAATTGCACTGATTTAACTGAAGTACGTCTCTTTAAGTCAATATGTGATAAAGAGAGACAGAAGAGAAGTTTCATTCAAACTATACATTAAGATAGTTTTTTTTAATATGGGGATTGGTATGGTATATACTAACTAACCACGCAATGGAAAATATGATTTTCTTATAATTTGAACTTCGATACAGAAGTTAAAAGCCCCTTTTAACACAAAGTATTTGTTTGTATATATCGCTAAATATTTTCTATAACTAACATTGAATTATAAAAAAATATAAGTTTAATACTGATATTTTTTTTAGGAAAAACAAGTAAGTAAAAAATTACGAACATAATAAAGATTAAGCTCTTACGATAATTTGCTGATATGATTACTTAATCGTATCTTTAATAACAAAGTGTGATTTAAATTTCGTAGAACAATAAAAAAACAGATATTTTTCTGAGATTCATATATTTCGTAGAAATTATTTTGGATTTATAATACTAAATTTTTAGTATTAATACTCATTACAATAATTGCGAATTATGTGGTTTGGATTTTCTTATATAGAAGTTATCACTTTTTCGCCAATTATTCGATTAAAACACTACAGCCTTGCGATTCTGTAACTCACTTTTGGAACTCTCACAGTGGTTTTCGCAGCGGCGGTCGCGCTCAAATCAGTTGTGAAGCAGTCATTTTACGATTTGGCATTTTGATAAACAATAAACTACAAGTTCCATCCGCTTGTCAAGACGTAATGTGAAATTGCTTAACAGAATACCATGAGATTCTAAAAATGAGTGAGAGACGTGAGTGACGAAGGCAGCGTTGTTAGAGCGAGGTGAACTCACTTCTACACAAATTTTTATAACGTATAAATAAAGTTCGCGTATTGGACGAGTCTCGAAGTTTTGAAATAAAAATAGTATAAATCTCTAAGCTGTCACTTATATTTCAAACTTATACTATTAACAGAGAAGGGGATTTAGGGGATTTTAGATAAGATATGGGAGAATCCTTACACCCATATAAGACACTTTTCTGTATATTAGTCATCTATGTTGTTGGGCTTGTGTAGAGCCATAGGTTTATTTGGGATAGCAATCAGTAAAATAATCGAGTTTCAAACGGCGAGCCTATCTGACGATCAAGGTGCGGTAAGCAAATTAGAGAATTACTTATTTTAGAAAGAAAAAACCATCTGGACATAGTCCCGTTATTTTATATCCCCGCCGCAGCTAAAATTAAATCATTAATACAGCGGACAATGAACTACCATTACTACAGATTATGGGTGTACCACAGCTTGGACTAAGTACTTAGTCTGTATAATTAGTTTTTATGTAAACATGTTAAAGTGTTTTGAGTATTGGATCTCATGATCCAATCACTGTTTTGATTGGATAAAGTTCCATTTACCACCTTTCGAATATATAAGAAGGGTTTATATTTTCTATCTCTTCCAGGTCTCTATATCATGCAAATTGTCAGATTAATATGCATTGTCTTTACTTTAAATATGTTATTTCCTTCCGCATTTCCTTATTTTAAATGGGCTTGTTTAATCTTATGAGTCCCCACGAGGCTTAAGAATATCCATGTTTTGCAATATACTACTATTATTTTAAATTATATTATATAAAGTCTAAATTTAAAGGTACCGGTGATAAGTTTTTTTTTTTTTAAAGACAATTCACACCAATTGACCTAGTCCCATGCTACGCTGGTGAAGCTTGTGTTATGGGTACTAGGCAACGGATATACATACATATTATAGATAGATAGACATATAAATACATATTTAAACGCCCAAGACCTAAGCACAACACCAAATGCTCATCACATCGATGTTCGTCTCAGCCGGGGATCGAACCCGGGACCCATGGATTTGCAGTCAGGGGTACTAACCACTAGTCGTTTGTTTGGTTCAGAATAATTAATTCTATTAATTCTTTGATTTATCAATGCTAAGTTTTAATAGAAATACTTATTTATTTCATTGCATTAATCCATATCTCGTTAAATGGTTAAAAATTCAGACTTCATCTAAGTATTGTTTAGTAACAAATAGTACCTACGGTGGTACATGGACAGCGTACTAACACCGTAGAATCTGCGTGTTCTTTGTGATTAACTGATTCCGGACGCCATTAGTGCTATGCCGAAACGATGCATTAAATGCATGCAGAAACGAAGGGATAAATACTAAAAGTTTGACAAGAAAATAATAGCATTAAGTCTCAAACAATAGTTTCTATTTATATTTGTTGTCCTTATCACATGTTTTGCTATAGATTTTTACGATCGTGTAGGTACTCACTATCCAAACTTTACTAGATATAACGTTGGTAGTTTGTACTAATACATTCCATATTTTTATAGTTTATTACGGGATCGAACGTCCGCAATAAATATTTAATTCGCGAGGGCGCTCGATTTTCACACAATTGTTACGTTAACGATTTGTATCGAAAAAATACTAATCATTAAAATAAAACGCTAAATATTAAGTAATATATAGTTTACGATTTTGTTATCTACTATGACTGTATAGATATAGAGCGGTCACCAATAAATCGCACCAACGGACTTCATGACATAAAGAAACATTTAATAAAACCTGTAAATTTATAATAATACATAACTTCAATCCGGTCAAAATAGTGTTTTATTAAATGAATAAAAGTTATGTTAATCAAAGACAATACTATAAAGAAACATTCTAGAGCGAACAGTAAGATTTCAAACTATTTATTATTTTACAATTTAAAATACAAACGTGTGTACGTAGACAAATGACACTTTTGGAGATTAGGAAAACGATAAACGAATCCGCGATGATAGATGGTGCTTGTCACACACCGATTAGATAACTGACTACCACGTGCCGGCCAGTGACCAAACCGGGAAGACACAATGTTGACACTTTAAGGGGAAGACTATTATGATAAAAATGTGCAAACACTACGCAATAGAATGAGAGAAATATTAACTAGAAACAAGCTTTACGTGTGATGTAATCTGTAATCCATAACTAATCTAGTACAAAATTAAAGAGTTCTTTGGTACAACGCGGATATATCAAAAACTACTTAGTTTAATGTTACTACATGTAAGGAAGGTATTCAAAGGTCACGCTATGTCCAATAGGAATAACGAAAGACACTGTAAAGCTTGTACTATATCACCAAAACTCTTATGTTAATAGTTCTTTCGATTTGCGTTTTAATACTTTTTCAACTTTAATTAAATCATTAGTTAGCAGATTTATTTTAGCACCCTGCTAGACATATTAAATCATCAGCTATGATATAATAATAAATTTCACCGCAGACGTTGTGTGCTCATACGACATATAAAACAAGTGAAATTGCAATAAATATAGTCTAGACTAGTATTAAATTAAAAATGTTCTATTCTAGAAAATATGAAACGAGAAAGAATGTCGCCTTAAACAGCGGTCTTCGGATGTTATACAACTGAGATGTTAAGTCCGTGGATCTAGATAAGAAATGTAGAGAATATTTGCAATTTTATTACTTCGTTATTAAGCTGATATTACTATAATGGTTATATTGTGTCGCCTACAGTACAGTGCAATTTCATCGATCGCCGTGACCTGTGCTGATTAGGGCTTATTGTAAATAATTTATTGTAACGGCAAACGATTCGCAAGGACTTCAAGTTCAACTGTGGTCTATAAATCTTTTTCGAGAAACAATAAAATTTTGTTAATAATCCAGAATTTACGAAAATTAATGATTAAGAAATTTCAAGTTTGTTACTATGAAGAATTATCGTCAATAGATATTTTTCACTGAATTGCATAGTCAAATATTTTTCTAGAAACATTGAAATCTTGATAATAATACAGAATTCACGAAAATGTATGAATGTGAAATGAAAATGAACATGTTTTTTCATAGGCAAGTAATGGTCAGGCTTCTCTGATATTTTGAGCGTAAAATAATAATGTGATATTTTCCATTAAGCTGCTTAATATTTATCTGCTCACTGTCCACAATTAAAAAAAAATGTTTAAAGGACTCGCTTCTGAACAGTGAGATCTAACACGTAGTTACATATTCATACACATTACACTCACATGCATCCACTCACTCACTCATGCACACACGCGTGTTAACTGTTACGCGTCGAAAATTTTTGTTAAAAAGATTGGGAAAAGTTGTTGTAGACAGTTTGAAAAAAATTTCACTATGACTAAATGTTTTTATTTAAATAGCAGTGATTGCCTAGTGGCTTCAGTGTGCGACTCTCATACCTGAAGTCGTAGGTTCGATCCCCGGCTGTGCACCAATGGAATTTCTTTCTATGTGCGCATTTGACATTTGCTCGAACGCTGAACGAAAACATCGTGAGGAAACCGACATTTCTTAGACCCAAAAAGTCGACGGCCTGTGTCAGGCACTGAAGGCAAATCACCTACTTGCCTATTAGATTTAACAATGATAATGAAACAGATTCAGAAATCTGACGCCAAGACCTAAAGAGGTTGTAGCGCCACTGATAGTATAACTGCCATATTATTTTAAAATCGTATTATATTTTGTTATGACAACATACGGAAGCCTCTCTCGCCAAGTCGCGATACTGAATAGTGCTTATTTCACAGTCGAAATTCGAAGGCACGACCAGATAATTAACCGCTTAACCACTGGGCTAAGCAATTTAGCCATATAAACCAGACATATTTTTGACCTGTCTCAATCCTCTTTTATCAAAATTTGATCACGCAAAACAGAAACGGGGTTTTATACCTGTCTAATTTTTTTTTTTTAAAGTCAATTCACACCAATTGACCTAGCCCCATGCTAAGCTGGTGAAGCTTGTGTTATGGGTACTAGGCAACGGATATACATACATATTATAGATAGATAGACGTATAAATACATATTTAAACACCCAAGACCTAAGCACAACACCAAATGCTCATCACATCGATGTTCGTCTCAGCCGGGGATCGAACCCGGGACCCATGGATTCGCAGTCAGGAGTACTAACCACTAGACCAATGAGTCGTCAATTAAAGTATTTCTATTTGGCTTTTAAAATTTATCATCCGCACAAAACATTACTCTGATAGATTTCAATTGTTCATCTTACTTCAAATAATTGCATAGACTGATAAAAATAATTTAATTTTAACATTAGACGTTTTTAAAGTACCTACTTATTTCTACTTAAAAAACGTTATCAGATTATAAATATACGTATACTTTATAAGCAATCATTTGAAAAGATATATTCTTCTATCGTTGAGCGGTTGTATTTCACGACGAAGGCTTCCTTGGAAGTCCTCAATAAGTAGAGACTTAAGCGCTTTCGCTGCTTCCTGGAGAAATAAAGCTATTAAGAATATCAATAAAATATTACACGGTATTGTTATTTAGGAGAGTTTCAGCCGTTGAAAAATATTTACAGAAAACGTGAAAAACCCCTAAATGTACAACAAATAAGCTACAACTTTTGTACACGTACAAAATGAATATCCCACTCGTATTCGTGGGTAACAACAATTATGACAGCATGATATGAGAACAGAAATTATCGTGATATTATGAAAATAGAAAAGCGTCTATGAAACATACAATTTTACAATCGTACATGCTGAATCTATTATTTGGATTTCAGCAAATGTCGACTGAGCTAAAGTTATCGAAAATGCTTGGTATTCCAATATAACTTGGACAGTGGAAGATCCTTTCTTCAGAAGCCATCGAGTCAGCATTGATGGTGTAAAGAGCTCGTTTAGTTGGGTGAATAATCAATGCCCTTCACTTCTTTTCACTGGTTTACTTAGAACCCCGGCAGGTTCAAGAATTTGATTGTTGTATGATGACGCGTGTGTCATCTATATATATAAAAGAAAAATGGTCTTCGTTTGAGGCTCCTTCACGCCTAAACCACTGATCGTATCGACATGAAACTACCACCATTCGATGCGAAATTTTTCCTAGATGGTTTATGGCTATTATTTTATTTATTAATCCAACGTTCCTTCATTGTTTTATTGCTGTTTTACTTTTATGAAAATTTATCCATACGGACTTCACCGCGGAAACATTCGGGGAGGCTTCCTAGAACCTCTAAACGTCAAAATCTGTTAAAAACTCGATTTTCGAAATATTTCAATTTTCTTAGCGGGAAGTTAAAAAGAAGAATAATAAAAATATGAAAAAAAATAAAATAATGAAACATAAAATTTTTTTTAATTCGTCCAGCAAAGCGGGCGCGAAACGGCTAGTAATTTATATAATAAATTGACTGTTGTTAAGGTAATTTCTTACCCTTGTTATAGGCAATGTTTGATCTCTAATAAGCCAAAGTACAGCCTCTGTACACGGTGGCACTGTCAAAGAGCCGTGATAACTGGCATAATATTTCAAGGGAGGATTGAAATGACTCAAAGGTTGCGAAGTAATGGTCGAGTTTATTCCTTTTTTTGCGTTACTCAATATGCTTCCAACGCTGCAGTGAGTGTAATTTCTGTACTGAAAAAAACACAACCATGTTAGAAACTTTATAAAGATTTGACTAAACAAAATAATTTTATATTTAAGTAAATAATTGTCTCCTAATACTGTATACTATAATACTAAAGGGTAAGTAAATCTGATGATTTGTTAGAATAGCTCTGGACATAACTTTTTGTTTTTGGAATATTTCTTTATAGCAAGAGACAGTCTAAAACCTGAATATGGTTGGATATTTACGATAAGCTTCTGTGAGGTTAACTTCCTGGTAGCTTGACGATCTAATTTAGAAATAATCTATCCACTTAAGGATCTTGAAATAATCGGATCAACGTCAAAGTATTTGCAGTACTTCATAACTTTCAGAAATGTGAAAACAAAATTATCTTTGGCATTCGGAATCTTGAAGGGAAGACAGTTAAGAAAAAGTTTAATGGAGGATTAGACAAGACTTGTTGAAATAATAATGTTTGAAAAGAACATGATATAAAGTTGAAGCTGTTGCCAAAAAGTTAAAAAAAAAAAAAAAAAAGAACATGATTGTTTATGCTTTAGCTACTTTTAATTGACGACATTCAGTTAAAGAATATACATTTTTATGGGACAGCAGGCAAACGTGCCGGTGGGTCACTTTGAATAAAGTGATAACCGGCGCCAATGGACACCTGCAACGCCGGGGGCTTGCAGGTGTGTTGCCGACCTTACAGGGTATGGTACGCTTTTTCTAATTTCTTGAAGGCCCCTAAGTCGTATCGGTTCGGAAATACCTCTGGCAGCTGGTTCAAACAAGTGGGTGGTGCGCGGCAGAAATTGCCTCAAAAAGCGCTGTGATGTTAAACACCAGGCGTCGAGATGGAGAGGATGCAATTTTGCAATCCGCCTCGACGTCGAATGATGGAATTCAGCCGCAGGCAACATAGGCTCTATACATTATTTCTAAAATATTTTTCACTTTTTAGCCGAAAGCCTCGAACCATGGACTATTAATGATAGTGTTCGTCTCATTCACACAAATACTTTTTATACGTACACGCGAGTTGGAGGAATTGTGATAATAATGTACACAAAGCATGATTACTGTTTACTTCGAATATTTAATTGCTGTACGCTTCCAGCAATTGCTGTAATTACTGCAAGTACCTGCAATTACTGTAGTATTGGGAAAATATATCATAAACAATTATAATTTTCATATATTAATTTTAAGCATTATTATACTCCGCTAAGCAGTAAATTACAAATGAACAATATATTTCTCCAAATGAATCTAGTAAATGAACTAGCAAACTCTTGTGTCTCATCCTTGAGTGGCAGTTGCTTGAGATGCTCTTCAAATATATATATGCTAACACAAATATAATAATAATAAGTAATCTAGTAGCTACAACCCGCTTTAGATATAATATAAGAACTCAAAGGATGACGCACTTTCAAGCCTTCTGGCGGAACAGGTATTGGTTAGTATTTAATTACAAGTGAGGGCTGCATCGTCGCAATTATTTAGTAACGACATTAGCAGTGAAGCAATTTAACATCAAGAGGCTTTTAAGCATATTATTTAAAAAAAAAAATGTTTTGGCACGTTTATTTACAGCGTTATAACTAACAAATACCCAGTAGCTGATTAAGGTTTATATGCCATTAAAAACTCGTAAAAAAATACAAGACTCGAGTTATGTAATCTAACATTAGTTAAGTTACATATTATATATATTTTAGTTAATAATTAGAAACGAAAACAAAATGTAAACAATCATCGCAAACTTGAAGCCAATATGAGCCCTTTAGTTTTTTCCACACTTATAAATTATTACAATTAAATTACACTTAAATATTACAACATTCATGTATTACAACATATTCTTTACATACATATTACAACATTCATGTATTACAACATATTCTTTACATACACATTACAACATTCATGTATTACAACAAATTCTTTACATACACATTAAAACATTCATGTATTACAACATATTCTTTACATACACATTACAACATTCATGTATTACAACATATTCTTTACATACACATTAAAACATTCATGTATTACAACATATTCTTTACATACACATTACAACATTCATGTTTTACAACATATTCTTTACATACACATTTTAACATTCATGTATTACAACATATTCTTTACATACACATTACAACGTTCATGTATTACAACATATTCTTTACATACACATTACAACATTCATGTATTACAACATATTCTTTACATACACATTACAACATTCATGTATTACAACATATTCTTTACATACACATTACAACATATTCTTTACATACACATTACAACATTCATGTATTACAACATATTCTTTACATACACATTACAACATATTCTTTACATACACATTACAACATTCATGTATTACAACATATTCTTTACATACACATTACAACATTCATGTATTACAACATATTCTTTACATACACATTACAACATTCATGTGTATGTAAAGTCAGTTGTTACCCAGCTTCAAACAAAGTATTTCATTTAACATATATCCGAACTTATCTTACCATATCTTTAACTTTTCCATATACTCATAATACTCATATAGTGAATTTATAGTCTCTACTTAAGGGACCTTCTGTCTTAAGTTATTACTTAATTAGCTAACCTAACAACATCTTATATAACGATAACAATATTATAAATCTTCTATGTTTTAAATAAATATATTATTTTCTTGGCCATCGCATAGAAACACAAATTATCTCAGAAAGAAATAGGTGTTATATTAAATAGATTTTCTAGTGCGATTTCCAAGTCAATCTAATAAGTAGGAAGGCACTCTTAGTCCATTGTTACATTTACTGAACATTTGTTAGTTTACGCAATTTTATTTATGGAACATGTAGGGGGGTCAATACAAAAAAAGGTAAAAGGTACTTATAACCTTTGCATTTTGGCTTTATGATAAAAAGTCACATAGACATAATTATAGGCAAAGCGATTTGCTACAAAATATATCATCACAATTTTGTTGTACGATGGATAGTTTAGGAGATATAGCCAAAAACGTGATTTCACTGCTTTTTCCAAGATGGCGGCCGGGGGACAAGGGCGCCAACAGCACAAAATTGGGTTTAAGCTTGTATTGACCCCCCCTACATATACCATAAATATGATTTTCAGTTTGGCCCTCAAATTGTAACATTTCAATGGAATAAAGAGTTTTGATTTCGGTCAATCAGTATCAAAAATAAAAATTAAGAAGTTTACTAGTTATAATCCTTAAACCACTGGTTTCAAATGAATGAAATAATAAATTAGGCTTCTAATTTTATCCACAACGAAGTTATAGGGGATCATAAATGGCCTGAACTGCTTTGGAGAAGGGTACAGAAGGCCGTGCCACTTTTTTACTCGACTTGGCAGGCGCACTGCCTACATATAGAGTCAATAGGTTTAGCTTTCTTATAGATTTAACGATGTTAATTGTATAAATACTACAGTAGCGTTACTTAATTAGCGCTAATAAGAAGAAATAAAATATACCTTTATTTGTGTAGATAATAATACAAATAAAATATATCAAAAACTGTACTATAGTGCAGATATAAATATGCGAACACAAAAATTAATGCTTAATAAAAATGCTACGAGTGTCTACAGCCGGTGATAAACCCTAATGAATTTGACTGTTACAACGCTTAAAAACTTGGAAAAGTCTGCGTGACCAGAAATTTAACTAATAGGCTACTACTAAATTATTTTATCGTTTAATATAGATTACTTAAACTTGGCAAATTGGTGTAAAAATACGTTCACTATCGATAGTTAGCTAATAGTCTGCAGACCACGTCTGTTGAAAGGTGCTAAACACATTTGTGTTGTGTAGTACATGTACAGCAAAGATAATAACTAAATTATTTAATAGCGCCCATTACACGTCCCTTTAAAAAGATAAAAAAGTGCGTGAAGACAAAGTAAAGTACACATGTTAGAAGTGAAACTTCTTTGGCAAACGAGGGAAAAAGGAAGATATGTTAGGAATTTCATAAATTTAATTGTCATTAAAATATTAAGTGTCGAAAATTAATACAAATTATACATTTAATTTAAATGAAAACACGTGGCATTTTAATTAACAATTCATTATTTGAGATTTCAATAAATTATTTTGCATAAAATATAAAATACTAATATTTCGTAAATTCTCTTCACGAAATTTTAATTTTAAAAATAGAGTTTCTATAAGGTAATTCGCCCTTCTCACTCTCTCTCTCTCAATTGCTCTCTCCCTTTTCTTCGACATCTTCGTGACGCTAATATTATTATTATTGCGTTTCATCCGTAAAAAAATTAACGCCTAAATAAGTTTCACTTCAAAAAGAATTCCCTGTATTAAGATCAAGCATGAATATCACAATAAAATATTGAGAGAACTTTAAATCGTGGCTCGAAAGGGGCTTCAAGCAATGAAAAATAACTGCTTAGTTGGTTTCAGTAAATAATGTAATAAATATTTAAATAATTTCAACTTATTAGGAACGAATTTGAGCTCCATTCTGTGTTTAATTACGCATTAATTATGAGTAGAGTACACAGGCAATGGTAATTACCGACAATATTTGGAAAGATATTAAAGCTTAAAATTAAATCTTATTCTGAAATATCATGTGTTAAACTATAGTAAGTATAATAGATATATATATTATATTGTATATAATGTTTAACGCATAATTAGTACTTACCCGATTACAAAGCTAAAACTACTATTAATATACAACTCTGGGTACGGCGGTGGAAAACTATTTTACTTTAACAATATTATAAGTTTGTCATGATTTTTTGTTTGGCAATCAAGTTTTACCTTCGTGACTTTATCACTGTAAACAGCGGTTCTAGGTTAGATTCAATATGGATTTTTAAAAATGTATAAAAGTTTTTAATTACAGCTTAAAAATACACATTACACACATACACGGTACAAAAGATTAACAGCGCTATTAAAGTCGATAATTGACCGCTACAGCTTTAGATCTACGGCTGCTCTTATGTGAGTGTACGATGTACAATACACATGCTCTTATTTTAATTTACACAACAATTACACTTTGGCAAAAAAACAATAACTACGAACTTTAATGAGGTCAAATTCTCACGCACGCTTTTTAAAATTAGGAGCAAAATGTTTATATATATAACTACACAATGGGTCACTACACGTTGTTCGTCCGCTATGGACTCCTTAACTACTGAACCGATTTCAATCAAATTTGAAAATCCTGTGCAGTTTGATCTAACTTAAAATATAGGATAGCTTACATATATATATTTCTACTGTACGTGTGTATGTGACTAAACTTCTCTAAAAAAAAAAAATATAGGATAGCTTATATAGCTTACATATATATATATTAAACGGCTGGACCGATATGAATTTTTTTTTGTATGCATTTGATGAGCCCTGGATGGTTTAGATTCACAAATCAGCCCGGCAGATGGCGCTGTAGTCAGTACTTTCATACTTTGTTTAATATCCTAATCGCTTGAAATATTATGCAGGACAACGTCTGTGGGGTCCGCTAATAATATAAATTATAATATAACTTACCATATACAAATTGACGATGCTAAGAAAAGCGAGCCGATCCTTCTTTGAAACGTTAATAGCGTCATCAAATGTATCATAATCCGCCGACACATGCAGCACTTGGCTTTCAAGTGGGTATTGAAGACCACCCACTGAGTGTTCAGACGGCCAGTGAAGTGTAATTGAATGGAAAACATATCGTCGATTGTGAGCTCCACCTCCGTATATCATCGGTCTGTCTTTCCTACTCCAATCTCCGAATAAACGAACTGAAAACGAAAGATTTATTTGTTTCCTATTTTTACAGTAACTTAATACTAATGCAATGGAAAACTTATTAATATTAGGGCCTTACATATGAAATTGGCGTTTTGTATGGGAGGAACAAAAAGTCGAATATTTTTAAATATAATATATTTAATTAATCAAAGTATGAACCATTGTTTTCTATGCACTTTTGCCATCTCATAGGTAATTAATTGATCCTTTTACTAAAAAAAACAGTCGGACGGGAATCAATAAAATCTGTGAAGGCTATTTGGACTGCCCCATCAGAGTTAAATTTTTTCCCTTGCAAGAAGTTGTCCAAATTTCGAAAAAAATGGTAATCTGTTGGAGCAAGGTCCGGGGAGTACGGAGGATGTCTTAGACATTCCAATTGAAGCTCTTCTAATTTGGTAGCCGTCTGTTGTGCAGTGTGTGGTCTAGCGTTGTCGTGAAGTAGCAGTGGCGTGGAGCGATTGACCAGCCTAGGTTGTTTAGCCGCTAGCTTTTCCACCATGGTTTGCAATTGCTGACAATTGACATCAGCCGTAATAGTCTGGCCAGATTTCAGAAAACTGCAATGAACAATACCGGCAATATATACGCTGTAAGCGTTTGGTGGACTAGTGCCGGTATATATAACTTTTTTGGGTTTAATTTTCGCTTGGGGCAGGATTTGGCTGGCTGGCCAGGATCCAACCATTGCGCTGAGCGCTTCCGATTATCGTAAAGAATCAATTTTTCATCACAGGTAATGATTCGGTTTAAAATACCTTCATTATTGTGCCGGTTCAGTAATGTAACGCAGCAGTCGACGCGCGTTTGCCGGTTTGCTTAAGTCAATTCGTGAGGTACCCATCTTTCAAGCTTTTTAATCTTCCCAATTTGCTTCAAGTGAATTAAAACAGTTTTATCACTAACAACGCAGCCTGCAGCTAACTCGGAAGTGGTTTGCGATGGATCCGCTTCCACAGTAGCCTTCAATACTTCATTATCAACTTGGGTCTCAGGCCGTCCACGGGGCTTGTTCTGCAGGTTGAAATTTCCAGAACGAAAACGTTGGAACCAAAAACGAACTGTGTTTTCTTTTGCAACATGACCGCCATACACATCATTCACCCTTCGAGTCGTTTCCGCAGCACTAGTGCCACGGCGGAACTCGTACTCGTAAATAATGCGATACTTTAAGTTTTCCATTTTGTAAAATGAGTGACGCAAACAGAAAAAAACAAATGAATGACGGTCATCGAAGCACAAATACATGAGTAAATAGCTGTACAAATTTGAATTTGGAATTCCTTACCAAAGAGGAGAACATCGTGATTAAAGTGGCCAGTACGAAATACGCCAATTTCATATGTAAGGACCTAACATAAAAATTAATAAGTTATAACACAATATAAAACAAGAACCTCAACCTACTTATAACTTATTATAAATAATGCAATTGTCAATTCAGCCAGTGTGCACCTAAATATATCCGTCTCACAGGCAATAATTTTCAGGGTGCGCAAGACACCAAAATAATAAAAAAATACTTAAACTTAAACAAAATATTTTGTTGGATCATCCATTATCAAATTTACTATTTTGACGTATTTACCACACCTTAATACATTCCTATGTATAATACATTCCATTCCTATCCCATCCATATAATTAATAATAATAATAATAAAAACTTAATTAATGACAAAAGGGTTTCTGACAGAAATCATTTATCGCTAGTCCCCACACTAGCGAGGCCCTGTGTTGTGGGTAACTAGAAAACAATTATTTCGTGGTACATGTTTAAATAAGTTAAAAAAAGAAGAAGACTGTCTTAAAGATTTTATCGATATAAATTACGTAATCATCAACTTTCTTCTTCGGTATATATACGTGAATGCTTCTGTAATAACTAATATTAAACAGTATTGCTATAATATAATTGTTGTTTTTATATTTGTGTTGCAGTTTTATACAGTAAAATATTGAGAATAAAAACATTTATTTTGCTTGAAATAACGAACAAAACTTTTCATTAAGCTCTCACTTAAATTTCATATCTTGTATAAAGTCAGTGCTCTACCAGGATTCTAATTACAATATGATAAATGCTACAGAATTTTCTTAGAGTTCGCCTAAACGGAAGTAACAAAGGAAAATGTTAACTGCTACATAATATCGTAGCAATAGCTAGCGTAGTGCAATAAAGGGACGCATTAATGTAAGTTGAGATAACGTCCTTAGTAATGGTGAAGCGATAAACTTCATTTTATATCTTTTTGGTATAAATGGTGCTCATCTCAATGGCCCAGATGGAACTTTCATAAAGAGCAGTGCTTTAACGGGACTGGGAATTTCCTTGTTATAGAAAGTCTCTCAGTTCTGTACTATCATGATTTTTTTTGAGATGAAACTCAAACGTAAAATAACTTTATTCATATAGGTAAACAAGTACACTTACGAACGTCACACACAGAAGTTAAATTAATTCGAAATTAAGTAGCCTTGGACACCACGGCCTACATTGCCAAAAGAGTGCACTCTTTTTTCTCGCCATGCCGCGCTCAACGATATTTTACGCGGCTCTCTTGCCTCCATCAATATTCCAGCAATTTTGAAGCCAACAAGCATCGCAAGAAACGATGGCAAGCGGCCAGAAGCAGCGGCAAGAGCTGGCAGAAAATAACAAACGGCACAAATATGAGTAAGAGACAAATAAGAGTCTTTCCTCCAACTTCGATTTTGTTCCCTTTGGAGTAGAGATAGTACCGGTGACCCCAGAGCTGGCACTTTACTGGCTCAACGAATAAGTCTCGCAATACAGCGAGGAAATGCTACCAGCGTTAAAGGTACACTGCCACAGGGACCAATTTTTTTAAATTCGTTTTGATTTTCTTTTTAATAATTTTTATTATTACTTTTTATGTTAAGAAAATACTGTTTACTTTGATTGTAAATATAATTCTAAATTTACATTTACTACCAGTTCGCAAGTTCTATGATGTGATTTCTGAGGAAGGTTTAGGTATATTCATTATGGTTTTATGTAAATTTACTTAAATAATATAACCATTATTATTGCAGAGGCCGCAAAAAAATCTTACGAAGTACAGGAAATTCACTCGGATGAAGCTCCGGGTGGAAGCTGATAAAATGTTCAAAGCCTCTTATAAGGATGTAAAAAAAGCTTAGTAACCAACCTCCAACAAAAACGGTTGTAAGTTGTCCCACATTTATTTTATTTTTCAAGGATTTCCTTCGAAGGTAGTAAAATTACTTTTTTATCTGTATTTACTAGCCAAAATGGATATTCGGTTCGGTTCAAAGATACTTTATTACTCAAAGAATTACATTCACTTGTGAGAAATTTTAGGGGTTAGTAATGTACATCGTTTTGAAACTATTTAAAAATAAATAAATATTAGTTGATAAGAATATGTACAATATTTTTTTTACAAAAGTGTGCATGTTACAACACGCATTGTGTGACTAATGAATAGTAATAATTTCTTAGATATTTGTAATCTAAAGTAAAGAAATAACGATTATTATTATCTAATATATAAAATTTTCGTGTCACAATGATGGTTCCCATACTCCTCCAAAACAGCTCGACCCATTCTGATGAATTTTTTATGTATTTTCAGTAAGTCTGAGAATCGGACAAAATCTATTTTTCATCCCCCTAAATGTTAAGGGTGGTTAACCCCAAAATTTTTATTTTTAGACAAGACCTTATGTTTTTATGCAATATAAATAAACAACCAACCCTTAATTTTCACTCCTCTACGATCAACCCATATTTTTATGTGTTCATTAAAATCTTATGACTTGAACTCTGAGGTTTATATAGAGAAAATTTCACAAAACCTAAAACGTTTTTATTCCAGAAAACCTAACAGTCTCTGGGGTAAAATAGCAAATGTTCCATGTTGGTATGTATGAAAAAGGTAGGCTAAGTAAAATTACATTAAGGAGGAACAAAGTTCGCGGGGGCAGCTTAATCTATGATTGTTACTTTACTATTTTTCAACGGGACGGAACGACACATATAAAAAAATATTACCTCTACCAACTAAAAGACGAAAAATTGTTTTGATATCTTACCTCGATTTCCATCATTATCCAGATATAATGCTTCCGGATGTTTATTGTAATTAGCAAATATCATTTTCCGACCCGCTTTTGTCTTGATCAAACCATTAGGAATATCTATTGGCGACTGCGAATGGCCACCACACTCAGGATAATCTAAATACCATTTCATTTGATCTGGAATAGTATAATCTAGACTGAATGACAATGCCAACTTTAAAATAAATACAACAGAAACTGACGCCGCGCCGGCGCCGATGACTGGCAGTCAAATTTTTCAAGTGAAATTCTGTAATAATCTTAGTAGTAATAAGGGGGCGTCCATAAATTACGTGAGGTGTTTTTTTAAATTTTCTGTACCTTCCTCCCCCCCTGGTGAGATGTCGTGAGATTTTATTTCACCCCCTCCCCCATCCCCAATCTTACGTGAGATTTTTCAAAATGTCGGTTTCTTACGTAAACGCGTAAGAAGCTATCTTTTTGAGCTCGGAGGCGCAAGGTAATCAGATTTATTAGAATTAACAGTATTGCAATTCATATAAAACTATTTTACTTTTATTATACTTGTCCGTCTATCCAAATTTGTGGTAAAATATGGAAACTGAACTGAAAATTCTCAAAAATAACCGCGCGGTCCGTCATGTTCCTACGTATATAAAGAATTTTGTTGAGCATTGTTATTGTATGATTTTAATTATTACTAAAATATATTTGGCTAATATTCTACAAGCAAATAATAACATTACATACTTTTATAGTCCCAACCAACAGCATCTGAAATTATACAAAAGATTTATTCTACAGGGACAATATGGTTACATAAATACAAGTATCTACACTAAAGTTTAGCTATCTCTTCGAGAGGGTTCAGCGTTCAGCAATTGTTTCATTATAATGGCGATGATAAGGTGCCGATTGACAGCGCGCCGATAGGCATAACGTTAAATATTACAACTAAGAAAATATCAAATAGGGAAGAAGTTAATATTGAGTTCTATTTATATTTTTCAATTTTCCTTTAACAATAGTTGATTATACATTTTCAGCGTCATTAGCACATGGTTGCTGTGATATAACGTGAGGTGTAATAAAAAGTCTTACCGTTTTTCTGCAATTTGGAATTCCTGCATCTTTTAAACTGTCTCTGAAAGCAGACAAATTCAGCTAATTAGATACGCTAAATCTTTTTTTTTTTGCAAGAATTGATTCGGTGATTTTGGTTTATTTTATTTAAAGGCTTGAAAAAGGTTTGATGCACTTGAAAAAATCAGTGGCCTACAACCTTTTTGGGTCTGGGCCTCAGATTTCTGTATCTGTTTCATGATCATTTGTCGATCTAATAGGCAAGTAGGTGATTAGCATTTTGTGGCTGACACACGCCGACTTTTTGGATCTAAGGCAAGCCGGTTTGCTAACTATGTTTTCCTTCACCGTTCGAGCGAATGTTAAATGACATAGAAAGAAACACAGGTGCACAGCCGGGGATCGAACCTACGACCTCAGGGATGAGCCACTTGGCCAACACTGCACTAAATCATTAATTTAATTTTAGCATGAACTTTTGCATTTAAATAATCTAAAGGGTTTAGCAATATCAACTAACAAGCAATCTTTTTTTTACTAGCGCCATGTTGAGTTCCGGTGTCTGCGTGGGAAGACGAAACACCCACACTGTTGTCGGCTGAAAATATATTTAGGTGATTATTTTTCCGACCCAAATATCGACCAATAGAATTGCACATTCGACGTCACGTGGTACAACCTCTGGTATTACTATTTTTTGAAAATTTTTTTGTTAAGAAAAGTTTAAGTGTTGTTTTATTCATTATGAAATTTTTTTGTATGTAATTTCGTCTCATGGTGCAATTCTATTGGCCGACATTTGGGTCGGAAAAATGAATCCCCGAATACCACACGAGCTTCATTATCTGGCATTTCCCTCAAGCTTCCTCTGAACAAATAAAGTCGTCAAGTTTTACTTGAACTCTTCATTTGTTTGCTACTAACATATCGGGAAATACCCGATAATTTTGAAGCTCTTGTGGTATTATAAGTGAAAATTTCAACGGCCCTAAACGTCAATAAACTAAAAGAGCCATTGAAACGTATAATTCATTTTACACACCAATTATTGTTCCCAAATTTTCTTCCTTAAATTGGTTGGTTTTTATTGTGAGAATATGGTTTAAATAAATAAAAAAGGGCCTATAAATACACTTTACTGGATTAAGACTACTCAATCCAAGATCGTACGTAAAACGTCTGAATTATTTTTTCATTAATCTGTTAAATTGTAACGTAAGTAACGAATACAACGGTATGTTTAGATCAAATTTATTTCAACCACTAGACAGCCTTTGACAGACTAGGCTTTGTACGGTTGGATAATTTTGTAGATATTTTGAAAACAAATATATGTGTTACTTTAGGATATTAATAGCATTCTAATGGTGATATAATTTTTGAAATCGGTCAATAAATTTTTGAGTTTTTTTCTTTATAAACACAAATCAACCCGGTTGGGGTTGCCTGGAAGAAATCGGTTGTTAGCGATAAGGCCGCCCGTTGCCTTATAACTTATGTAATCTGCTTTTTATTTTTTTTTATATGCATGTTTTTGTATAAGGTAATAAAGAGTAAATAAATTAATAAATTAACCTCTTTCCTTCGCATATCCTCTATAATCATAAATACATTCAATAATTTGATCTCACTTTTAACATTCTGTCGCGCGCTTCATTGTCCAACTGTTTCTGTATGTCGTCTGCGTCATCCAACAATGTGTTCGCCCGCGTACTTGTCTGGTCTTGTATTGCAACTAAAATATCAAGGTAACAGCTAGTATGATTGTTAAGTTAATACGCACGAGCAGTTTTTCCTGAAAACGATGATTGACGCTACTTGCGAGGTACTGCTAAAATAAAATTCAGCCTCCCGCCAAACGGTTTTTTTTATGGCTCTGGCACAATTTGTGCATTAGCCAGCGTCAAGTAGTTTTTTAATGTTTTAGAGCCGGTCCCCTCTTTGCTGCCGGTACCGCACAACTCTCCAAGGCCGAGACCCGGTACCCCTCCGCCAAACGGTTATAACCCACTCGCGTACTATCAAACGAACATGGCGGCGGACGATGTTGCCATTGTAAAAAAACGTTATTATATATGGAAACTTCCCAGAGTCAAAGCTTATAAACTAACAATAGTCAATAGTCAAATCATTTATTCCAATTAGACCACCTAAAATTGCACTTTTGAACAATAAATAAAATATAAAGATGATTCTAGTTCCAAAAGTTTCGTGTGGAGAAGAATGGGCAAGAAACTCCACACTTACTTCTTTAAAATAGGTTTTACAGTACAACCTTTCGTTGTAGGTTTCTGTGCATGTTTGCGACTGTTCTTGTTCGTAGGATTTAAGAGGTGTTGGAGTCGGACGCATCTTTTTTTTTTTGGTGTTCAATTAACTCAAGGCTTGACCATTTTTTGATATTTATATCACTGTTTTTTGATTTGATTTCCGAAAGGTTTTGATATATTCCTAGAAAGTCATGTATCATTAAAAACAGTGTGCAGACGACGAAGTTGTTTTTTTTATACCGCAAAACTTTGAAATTAAAGTTGTCCTATATTTTGTTTTGTGCATATACGAGTATTTTTAATATAATCAGTCGTATTGTGCCTTTTTTTAACGCCGAGACCGTTAGTCTAACAAAGCCGTTGTTCCTGACAAAGTCGTAATTGGGATCCGAAAACTCTAACGTAACCACTGAAGAAGAACAAGAAATCAATAATATCTCAATAAATATAAATAGAACTTAATAACTATTGGATAAATTTTTAAATCATAAATCTGCTCATTCATTGACTGTTAGGCGACGTAAGCTAGTATTTTTTTGTAGATAGTATTTGAACTGAACTCGTGCTATTTAGTGGCGTGTAATCTCGGTAGATTTACGTTAATTTATAAGAGGAATTCATGTTATTTAAATCTCAAGATAAAAATGTACATAGAAGTAAAATTTTCTTCTGACAGCGAACAGCTGCCTCGTCTAGACTTGGTAAACGTGTTCGACTGAAAGTAATGATTTGCAGTCAAACATAATACTCAACAACAGATGAAAATGCTGAGTAGATACGAAAATCAAAACATGCCATTTTATCGGAGCTGTTAAGACTGACAGTGTATTTCTGATGTCCATAGACCATATTAAAGAAACAGCAGGTGGTACACAGCAGAGAATGGCACAGTGCAGAGAGGAATGGCGGGATTTGGAGGAGGCCTTTGCCAAAAAAGGGCACACAGATACACTAGAAGAGGATTAAAATGGAAATGTGATTAAATGTAAATGTATTAAAGGCTTTTATTATTATTATATTACTTTTTTATAATTAAAGTAGCACTTACTGGGATTATATTTGATGCTTATACAGAAAATCAGGATCGTCAAAATATTCTTGTATGTAGGTAACATGACCAATGTATTGCAATGCGTTTTCATTTACAACACCTTTTAACATATAATTCTTAAATCTTAAATATTTAATTATTTTGACACAATAAATTGACATCTTTTTTCAAATAAACCCTGATTGTTTATTGTGTCAGTAATGGAATCAAACACTTATTGTCTTTGGATTACGCGATTAACGATTTTTATTTATAAGGTCGAGTCATATAAATAATAATACAATCACGTGTATTAAAACAAATTTATTATCTGAAATAATATCGTTTAATACCTTTAACTTAATAACTTATAAACTGATTGCCGCGGGCACATAGTGGTTAGTTTGTGGGATGATTTGAATAATTTCGGAAAATTTAAATTCAAATAGAATGAACTCCGAACCAACGGAAATAAACAAAATCCTTGATTCTCGTCCCCAAATGACAAATAGGTGATATGTTTTTTACTTATTTAATACTAAAACTGTTACTATTTTATAATTCTGTGTATAATAATGATTTTACATTTTACATTACTCGTACATAAATAATATAGACAAACAGAATATAGCAATAATTAATCTATCAATTATAAATCAACATCAACTAAATTGTTACTACGTTTTAATTTCTTCTTATTAATAAACAAGCCTTCTTAATTAATTGTCGTACATTAAAGATCGCGTTGCAGCTCAAGGATAGAAGACCACCAGACAATAAAGTATAAACACACTACGCCAGTGACGTCTTATTGAGCTGAATTTTTATTTTGAATTTCGTTATTAATTTTGATTTGTCTGAAACTAAATTGAATTTTTGATGCTGCATAATGCTGCAAAGTTACGTAAACAAGCAGGCAGCTCGCCAAAATTGCTTCTGCGGTAGTACATTTACATTGAAAAGCAGATGTTTGCCTGTGGATTTTCATAAGAGATTATGATGTAACTCCGTTTCAGTGTTATTTGTATGAGCTTTGATTATATAGACACACTAGCCGTTTCGCGCCCGCTTTGCTGGACGAATTAAAATAAATTTTATGTTTCATTATTTTTTTTTTTTCATATTTTTATTATTCTTCTTTTTAACTTCCCGCTAAGAAAATTGAAGTATTTCGAAAATCGAGTTTTTAACAGATGTTGACGTTTAGAGGTTCTAGGAAGCCTCCCCGAATGTTTCCGCGGTGAAGTCCGTATGGATAAATTTTCATAAAAATAAAACAGCAATAAAAAAATGAAGGAATGTTGGAATTTAATAAATAAATAGCCATAAACCATCTCGGAAAAATTTCGCATCGAATGGTAGTTTCATGTCGATACGATCAGTGGTTTAGGCGTGAAGGAGCCTCAAACGAAGACCATTTTTCTTTTATATATATAGATTATATAAGGACTGAGAAGGCTGGAAATTTAATATTTTGGAAATAAATACACTTTATGTTACTCAAAGATTTTGTAGCATTCTCATGATAATTTTTTTTGTTGTTGAGTTTATTCTTTACAAACATACAAAATATCCCATGAAGAACCTTACCGAAGATTGCTGTTTAATACTTTGTGTCATAGTTAAAGACTAATAATAATGATTCAGTGGCGCAATATATTAATAAAAAATATATTAACAGACACAAAAATCCGAGGATCAAGATCGTTTATTTTTATAACCGACAGGCTACTACTACTCCTTTCTTGGAAGACACTCTTAAAGCCTCAGCTAGTTTTGGTATACTGGGCATTGACATAACGAATTCTTGAAAGGCCGGCAACGCAATTGCGAGCCTTTTGGCAACGTATGTCCATGGGCGGTGGTATTACTTAACATCATCTCCTGCCCATCTGTCTCCTAAAACATAAAAAAATCAGTGGACCAAGAAGTAAAAAGTGTAGTTTAAAAATAAAAGAAAAACTGTCAACTTAGCATCTGGAAAATTAAGCCAAAGTGCGATTGCAACTAGAACATTGTTTAACTATACGTGACAACAATTTTATACGCTACATTCGTGTCACGGAATATATTATTATTTTATAATTTACAAAGGACGTTAACATTTAGGGAATGCATGTTTGCGACATTTGTGACGTTTTTCCAAACGTGCTTTCGCTTTAAACTTTTCATGTAATGAAAACTGTTTATACATTCATATAAAAGATTCTGTGTTCTATTTACACCGGATAATTGATTATTAAAAGCAGAGTTATATTTGTATGTTTATAACAAATTAAAGCACCACCACCACATCCTTCAATTAATTAGAATGGGTAAAATCCAGTGTAAATATCTTGTTGGCAGAAGGAAAAATGTATGCCTTCGCAACGTTAAGGAGTGGAAGGGTTTTACGACTGCGGAAGAGTTGCTGCATCAGGACAAGACACGCTTCACGAGACTGACGACCGACCTCCAGTAGAGAGGCACCAAAACAAGAACAAATTAACTCAAAAACAATGCGTTCTATTAAGAGTCTTAAAGGCATAGTTAGTAAATATAGTCCTCAGTTCGATTCCCGCTGACAGTACGGCCGGCAAGTAGTTTCACCAAGAAATAATGTGCAACAATAGGTTAAGAGGCATCTTTTTGGAATTTGCTGTAAAGGTCATACAAAAAGCTGTTAAAAGAAATAGGTAGTAGTGTTTATTAATCCAGGTTACCAATACCATTTACGTAAGTTATGTAATACCTCCGACGACAATATAGTCGAGGAATTATCTAGAAAACATTTAAAAAAATCACCGGTCACTAAAATTAAACATAGATTAGATGTTGTAAATAAAAAATAATTAAATATTGTGCCCTTTGTCTACAGCTTAATACGCGTTGCAGACCAAGAGCTAAGCTACGTTAGTTTAGCTTAGCTCGCATAGCTGACCCAATTTTCCATACGTCTGCGCAGACCGCAAACTATGCGAACTAAGCTATGTGAGCTAACTAAAATATGCGAAGCTAAGTTAGTTGTGTATGCCGATGCGCAGCTACACGAGCTAAGCTAAGCCCCTCCCGCTACCCCGCACACCCTTTGCACATAGTATGCAACACTGACTGAGCTTTGGGTTAGCTGTTGGTGTGCACGCTATTTATTTCTAGCTTAGCTTAGCCTAGCTTGCTTGGCATAGCTTAGTTTAGCCTTGGCATAGCTTAGTTTTCAGTCTGCAACCGGCTTAAGAAATAATAAAACAATTACAAAACAAAACGTTTATTCCAAATATTGAGGCGTAACTTTAAACTTAAAACATTTTATTATTATTACAATTAATTATTACCTAAGGACTAGTAACTATTATTAAATTACAAAATCTCTTTAATACAGACCTTAAAAGAATTGCCGATAAAGTGTTTTTATACTGGATTTTGGTTGCTTAGTATCATTACATAATGAAAATTACATACAACCTGCGCGGACCCCCTGCAACTCCCAATAGCGAACCTGATTTAAATCTTGATGTTCGATACGCGATGAGAGCGATCATCGGAAGTTACAAAGTATCACAAAACTGTACAACAAAATTGTAGTTATAGATAATTCGTCTTAACAATATTAACCTTATTAGATTGCACATTACAAGCAAATTAAATATATTTATAACTAACTCATTCTTACAATCAAAATTTTGGTCCTATTGAACAAATTAATCTCACTGTACAATACGCAACACAATCAAACTTATAATAAAACGCGGATTCGATTTTGATTGAGGTTTTGTTTGTTACCATAGACAGATATTTTTTATAGAAAATACGCAACCATGGTAACAAAGACGTGGTATCCACGTTTTATAATACAGGCGTATATGACCACTATATGTCAAACAGTGGTACCATCGCAGAATTATGAAAATTTTTAACTGTGGAGATAAATAGATAGAATTGTTTAGTTTACATCATTTGACATGGAAAAAGATAGGGATTCTGAGAAGGACTGCCTATTCCTTTGTTTAAACAGGAAAAGTTCCGACAGAGAAAATATAAGTATTGTAAAATGGGAAATATATTTCCAACCAAGTTAGAATAAATATGACTGCTTCTTACTCAAAATTCTCCGATGAATATGCCAAGTACTGGAATAATAGGTTTGGTTAAATTATAAACAAACAGTTGGCTACTTAGGTACACACTACTTATTTTCGAGAACGATATTTTGTTAAAATCTTTGCAAGTACTTGTACATTTTTATAACAATAAGTGTTAGTCAATATAATTAGAGTTTTTCGCCATCCAAATGTTGTACATTGTAGTATGAATGGTCAGGGAATCGTTCTAATTCAATATAGTCCATTTCAGTGCACAACAATCGCTCTAACATAGCGACGATTTCTTTGAATTCCGGTCTTGAGCTCGGTTCCGCCTCCCAACAATAGTACATAATGTTGAAAAGCTCTCGACGGCAATGTTCCGGTTTGTCCAGGCGATGACCGTCGCGCACCTGCAAATTTGTTCAAGTTAAATGAATTCCAAATACGAAGCTTACATTTAAAAGATTCCATTGAATTCAAATTTAGAACTATTTATGTGTACTATTTTTCAGTTACGAAAAAGGCCACTTTCCCTGTTTACTGATGATTTTTTTACATTTTATACCTGAATATGGTGGACTAATAGGGGAAAAAAAGGATGTATCCAAACAATGCTATTTTAGAAGAAGAATTATGTGATTTATTTAAAACACATAAACAAAAACAAGTGGCAATTTCTTTTCATGCAGACAACATCTAATTTCGCAATTAAGAAACATAGTTCGCTGTGTATAAATAACTGAAAATTAAGTGTAATATTTATTAATTTAATCAATTTTCGATTTAATTCAGTTAATTTAAAGACTTAACATTCGATAGTATTTGATTTATTTCAGTACTTTTACGAATTTAGACTACTACGCCCTCTTAGTAGTAGCATACTATTAATGGCATATACTTATTTGCACGCAACATCTTCACAAGTATAAGATGTATAAAATAAAAATTTTTTTTTTTTTTTTTTATTAAAAAAAAAATTTTTTTTTAAATTAACTTGTACGGGGGGGAGGAAAGTTTTTTTCCCGGCGCAAAAAAAAAAAATTTTTTTTTTTTTTTTTTTTTGCCTTTATTTTTTCCTTGTTAATACAATTAATAAAAAAAAAAAAAAAAAAATTTTTTAAAAAAAAAAAAAAAAAAGGGGGGGGGGGGGGGGGAAAAAGGGGGGGGTTTTGGGTTTTTTTTTTTTTCCCAACCACAGAAAACACATTTTAAGTAGTTTTTTGAGTATAATAAAAAAAAAAAAAAAGGGGGCTTTGGGGGATTTTTTTTTTTTGAAGGGAGGGAGTTTAGGTCATAATGCCAGATCTGACTGACTCCCGGCTATCCCTTGCTTGAAGAGGTCGAACATGCTTTACAAATATAAGATGTATAAAATAAATTAAACAAAATACAATAAAATACATAATTTTATCATGTTTAAAACCAAAAAACATATAATCATTCACTTTTAATAAAAAATATTATAATAACTATTATAAAATAATATTGTCTTCATATATCTGTATTCCGTAACGCTTAATTAAATTAGTATTGCTTGTATAATTCAAGTCTTTCATTCCTTTTGTTGTATAACTTTGTGTTTGTATCGGATTACATGTCCTTAAGGACATAATCCGGTCTTATCTTGTTGAGTAAACCTAGTATACTTTCATTAAAGCACTGGTAAGTATACCCCGGGTACGGCTGTATTTGCTTTACACAAATGGAAATAGGACCTTAATTATACGTCTAGATCAGTGTTAGGCAAACGTTATTAATGGCGGGCCACAAAGTTTAAGAAATTCTAGGAGGGCCAGAATTATAGAAAAAACATTATAAGTAGAATCTACTTTTTCTTCTCGATCGTCAAAACATAATTATTTATATATAATATACTATACATGTCGATGGAACCTCGGCGAGCCGGATTAAATACTTTCGCGGGCCGTACTTTGGCTATCACTGGTCTAGATAGTTTATAATGTTATAGTTAACATAGATAGAGTATTACTGTGGAGTATTAGATTATCTTTCGAATGGCGAAACTACGACGTTCCGTTTAATGGTTATTGACTGTCCAGTGCAATGTATTTGCGACATTATCCGTCTTTATGTTTGAAAAACGAAAAATGGAATTTCATATTTACAGACGAAAAGCATAGATTGTGATATGACGCATCAAACTCAAAATAACTCTTTTTATATAGGTAAACAAGTACCCCTATGAACGTCAAAAAAGAAGTTAAATTAATGGTAAATTTACAATTACTACCAGTTCGCAAGTCAAGGGCGTAGAGCGGGCAAGCAACTTTCCGCCACTCTTTTTAATCGCTTACTTTTAAGTCATACAAATTGTTTGATTTGGAGCAAATCAATCCCATGCATTAGGATCATTTAAATATTCGTCAAATTTATGAAAAACTTTATTGATTAATTTACGTTTAACGAGGGCTTTTAATTTATTTAGTGATAATTCTCTAACTTCGCTTTGGAGTTTGTTGTAATAACGAATACAATATCCGTATATTATATATATATATATATATTTAAGTTAAAACATTATTGAAAACAATTTTTCATTCAAATTTGAAAAATGCTTTATTTTTTACTATTTTAACTTAATATTTATATTAATAACAAACTTTTAATATCGTATCAAAATAGTAATAACAGAGCAACGTAAATATATTTTTTCAAATGTTCAATATATCTGTAATGAAATTGTTTCAATTTCCAGTCCAGCCTAGATGAAAACTAAATTGTGTTCTTGTGAGATTTATTTCTCTTAAATTCCAATAAAAAACACCATTAAATTGGGATGAACACATAAAACGGTTTTTATTGGAACACAGAACAGGGCTGAGTATTATTGTTCAGTTTCTATTTAATATACAAATTTTATCTTCAAATGGGACTTTTATTTTATTAAGAAAATAAATAAAAAATTTAATAATAATAATAAAGTTATACAAAGGTTAGTCTTATCGCTAATAAAGCATAATATAAATATCATTAACGCTATTAAAACTCAAAAAGGCGACGACGCACTACTAGCCCTATGGCAATGTTTTACTTTGTTATCTAAAAAAATATTAATTTTTACCTTTCTCATGACGTCACCAGCTGATAGGCCAGGATAAGGAGTTGAACCCAGGGTCACGATCTCCCACAGCAAAACCCCAAAGCTCCAAATATCCGATTTCACACTAAATATGTCGTCATACAATGATTCTGGGGCCATCCATCTGAAAACAAGTAAATATCTTTTTAATTGTTGACTCTTTTTTTCGTTTTATGTTTTTTGTTTTGGTATTTGTCAGTGTACGAGCCAAGACTGTATATTTTGCTCACTCAGGCTTTTTTAGTTTTATAATCGTGACGATTTTCTAAATCGGAGTTACGCCCCGAGAGTATAGCCAGACGTAGGCACTCTCTTCAACTGTTACATTGCATTCATTCGTTACGTCATAGCAATTACCATTTCATTATTTCGCTTATATTCTATTGTTGTACGCGAGTGGCAAATATAGAGTAAAAATAAAATGCTCTATTATTTAAAGTACCCCGATTACCCAGTAATCGTACAGTCGTAATTTGAACATACAGTCTTGATTGTGTTATATATATCAAGTTTTTTTGTATTAATTTATTACGGTGTGTCAGATATTTGATCTCCATATAATTGCATCCAGCCTTTAGACGTTAAAGTTTAATCCGAGTAGGTTAAAGGGAGTAACATCGAAAATATTTCACGATCGGCAATAGCGATAAAAACATGATCGTGTAAGCTACGCAAATATACGATGCAGAAAGATATCGACTCATTGTTAAACAAGCTATTGGGAACAAATTGATCCGACTTTTACTGACTGGCGTGAACACAAAATAAGAGAACTCTACAAGTCGAAGTCGATTTATGTAACCATATTAGGAAAACACATGAATATGCGAGAAAAAATTGTCTAACACGTAGGGGTGTCCTGATTTCAATTCGTCAAATAAGAAATGGCAGTGACAGTCAAATAAAATATACACGATTTTTGAAGTTATCCTTCTTTAGGCGCGTTATGAAAAATTGATGAGAGTGAAATTTTGCGATGCGCGCGCACCGTGACACATAATTAACAGAATGAAGTTCCGCAGCCCACGGAAGATGCTGCGGCATTGGACATAAATTAAAAACAACATTCGAATAATAATAGAGTTTATGTTACACTTAATGTAAGAGAATAATAATAAATATTTATTTAATTTTTCAAATGTAAACTAAACTTTATTGACTACAATGACTCCTTTTCCAGTCTTTAATTATTTAATTGTAATTAATTATTTGCATGCAATCAAAAACTATTTTAAATAATGCCAAAGAAGTATAACTTCTTACGCGCGTACATAAGTACACGCACCCTTTTTTTTGCTTCAAAACCTTCGTGCGATAAACGTTATATTTGAATCAGGCTCAGGATTTTTCGTACAGTTATAGTTATATAGCTCAGGGGATGAAAATTGTTTTACAAAATAATTTGATTTCCAGGAACGACATCGTCGTGAATTAAATTATTACTAGGAAAAAATCCGATTTTCCCTTTGTATACCTGATTGGTAAACGGCCATCGCTTTTTCGTTCATATACATGCGTTCCTGCGACGTCTCGTGCAAATCCAAAGTCAGCAACTTTACATGTACGCTCATCTGTTATCAGCACGTTGCGAGCGGCTAAATCTCTGTGTATTATCTGTAATTTTAACAAAATATTAAAACTGATAATTTTTTTTTTTTTGAAGACAATTCACACCAATTGACCTAGTCCCATGATAAGCTGGTGAAGCTTGTGTTATGGGTACTAGGCAACGGATATACATACATATTATAGATAGATAGACAAATAAATACATATTTAAACACCCAAGACCTAAGCACAAAACCAAATGCTCATCACATCGATGTTCGTCTCAGCCGGGGATCGAACCCAGGACCCATGGATTCGCAGTCAGGGGTACTAACCACTAGACCAATGAGTCGTCCAATATATAAGAGTCTCTTTTTAAAATATTTCCACAGATAACCAGCGTAGATTAATTATACCCATTTGTCATAATAAAAAAGGGTTGTAATTGATTTAGAACAAAAAATGGATCGAATTTAACTCTTTTCTCTCGTTGTATATTTTTGAATTGTTATTATTATTATAATTTTATGCAAGATTATTATGTTAATAAATCACAATAGAGATTAGAGTAACTAAACTGTATAAATAAAAATGAATCGTAAAACATGTCTCTAAGCACAAAATCTAAGACGTCTGGACCAGTTGGAGTAATTTTAATTTTAATTTATCCCTTGAACTTGGAGGAAGGTTTTTATCGAGTAATAAATTGGATATATATATAAAGATCAAAAATTTATAATTTAGGTTGTTATTGCGGAAAAACGAACAGTTTCTACGGGGTCGCAAAAGGTTCCACATGGTACGAGTATGTTGCTACTAAAAAGGTAGGCTAAGTAATCAAATAATATTAAGGCCAAACAAAGTTCGCGTGGGCTATTGTTATATAATAATTACGTTTTTAACTTTGCAGGAAATGATTCAAGCGGGAAATCTACGTAAAAATCGGTACTAAAAATTATTAAATTGTTTTTTTTATATTACATATCCAAGGCTATGAAATATAGCTTGATACATTTGACTAAATGTTGTAACTTTATTTATTTATGAACACTTCGTTGCATACAGTTGCATAATTCAATTGACATAATTAAATGAAAAAGACGGCAACTGGCTGTCTTATCGCTTTCGAGCGATCTCTTGCAGGCAAGAAAAGAAAAAGTTCTGTGAGAGGAAAAAAATAAATTAGATAAGGTAAGAAGTGCAAAAATACATAATACATACGTATAGTTTTATTGGAACAAGAACAAAAACTAAACTCAAAAAGGACACATGAAAAAGATAAAGTGCACATGTTTAATTAATCGATCGAATTCTTAGGTTTAAGAATAACTTTATTTCTCATAAGAATTGCATACATAATTCACTTACTGAGAAACAATATTTAAAACTAAGATTAAAAATTAGAAATTAGAGCGCACAGATGTTGGTACATATATAAAATAACAAAACAAAACAGCAAAAAAATGTGGGTAGACATAATAAACTTGATCAGTCAACCAAGCAAAACACAGATGTTCGAATTTGATTTTTTATTAGACATTACTACATGTGGCATTGATGGCGTAGTCTGATATAGCAAGTTTATATTGATTATTTTATTATAACACTATTTTATTTTTTGTTGATCATACCAATAAAACTCTATAAATACATATTAATTATATAATCTTTATAGGATTTACTTACTCCCTTAGAACTAAGAAAGTCCATTCCGCGCGCCACTTGGAAGGCGAAATGTGTTAGATCACGTGATGTGAGGAACCGGCTCCCTCCATGAGTATTTCCGTAGTGACGTTCAGCTCTCGAGTCCCTTAAGAACTGCTGTAGCTTACCCAAGCTGACGAATTCCATAATCACTAGCGTAGGTTCCTGAAGAAATACAAGAAAGCATTACTACACGACATTTACAATCAATAATAAAATTCAATAAGTACTTTATATCGGTTTGATTTATAGTTTTAATGATTTTAATTGGTCCATCTACAAAAACACTAGGCCAATAAGGCAACCACATTATATATTTGCACAGTTTGACTGTTATAAAATATTTTAATTAATATTTGGCGATTAAAAATTTATTTATTTATTTCCCACATAATCTTATCAGTTACACCGATAATTCTACAATTGAAAAATAAATGCACTGTTATGTATTACTAGACAACAACCAAATTAAAGAATATAAAAGTAATACTTAATAACCCTAAAAAATATAATACAACTAGCAGACCGGCCAAGCGTTGCTGTGGCTAAGATTTTTGTTATATTACATAGTAGCAAACTACTCAAGGGAAACGGTGGCAGAACACCAGTCATGGGGACCACCATGTTTTATTGGTGGTAATGCCATTAAATTGTAGCTTATGTGAAACGTTGGTACTTTCAACACAGCGCCATCTGTTAGAATTGTGACTATTAAATAATAAACAAATATTTTGCAATAAAATAATATTGCGGGTATAAATTGAGATGTCCTATCTTTTAAGTTATCCAAACTACACACGGTGTGCAAATTTGATTGATATCGGTTCGGTAGTTTAGGAGTCCATAGCGGACAAACAACGTGACACGTAATTTATATATATTAAGATAACTAAAATATATTATTAAAAGGAATCCCTTTAGGCAAGGTTCCGAAGATACTGGCAGCGTTCCCCCTTTGAATAGCTAGACTAATTCTTTGTCCGAGGTAGCTCACAGCTCTTCGGTCTCATGTGATGTGGACTAACGTATTTGCTATTTCCTTAAAAATCCTTATAGCGCTAGGCCCCACGGACCAAGGGTCTCGACACCGAATGGGATAAAATCATATTCAGAGCCTAGACCACTGTTTTGCATGCTTTAATTTATTTTCAATTGAAAATACATTTAAAATATACATATATTATATCTTATGACTGATAATACAACAAGCAACTCTTGTAATCTCAGCCAGTGCACAAATAAATAGTCTATCTCGTCAGTGATATCATTTATTACATGTATCGCTCGCGTGAGCAGCGCCTCGCTAACCAAGTTGTAGTGTCACTTCCTACCCGATTCTAGCTTCGAACCCGTAGACTCAGTCTCTCCATTATATCCACATTATGCACCCGACCCGTAAGTATCCTAAATAATCATACTGATAAAGCAAGCTCTCTTCTAAGGCGTAGCTAGTAACCCACCATACCCGCAACAACCAGGGTTGTGTACATAGGCAGATACAAAGGGTACACTCCATATAGTCTATTGTAGATTTAACTGGTGAATTAATTTTGTACTCGCTCTATAACATGAGACTGTATTTAGCTTCATATGGGGCGCTACAGTCTGGAATGAAATGGCGTCAAATATTTCCAGAACTTTATTTAATGCAAACTGTAGGTATATACAAGCGTAAACATGAGATGTCGGTACTTGTTTTAATTAGAACTAGACAGATAATAGGTATTCATTGACTGGAAGTTAAAGCTTTAGTGTGGTGTGAATCTACTTGTTAACAAAATGTAACTTTCAAAGATAATAGGTATCTCAAACATATTATATGCTTTGTTATTTTGATTAATATCGTTATACGTTTGGTCTATTAGGAAGTATTAATTTGGTGGTGTATCAAAAGTTTAGAGAATTTAATTTTCAATTATAAAGTGATTTCCGTGTTCGGTAAGGTTATTATGAGGAAATTCTCTATCAAGATATTGAATATTCCTTAATTTGTAAAACAAGTCTGATTATAAGGAAAAGTATTTTCTAATTAATAATATTATCTTTATAAAAAAAAACAGTGGTACACAACCTTCCAGGTCTAGGGCAGAATTCTTTATGTTTCGTGATAATTTGTTTTTTATAACAGACAAGTAGTCGACTTTTGGGCAGCCTTCTGTTTGCCTGACCTCACGTCGAGTTTTTAATCTGCACATAAAAAGATACCTTGCTAATCACTAATTTAATGTATATAAGCGATGTTTTAAAAGTGCACACAGAAACTAACTATTACCTATGCTAAGACTAAATTCGATACCTGGACTCATCTGAATGGTGATGAGACTTACGCTGGACATAGACGGACACGCTGAACCCACTGGACTAGGCGGTCGCGTTTAAAAAGAAACACGATGAATGCATCGGCGACGACAGCTTGTAGAAATGATTCTGACCGCAAAATAAAGATCTGTACAAGATGGATTTGTTCGATGAGAGCCATGCTATTTGTAATATTATTAAAGTGGGGGGGGGGAGAAGACGCCGGGGGGTGGGGGTGCGTCCAATTCTAAACAAGAAAACAGCATGGAATATTGTCTATTTGATAACCGCTACAGATCAAAACAAAAATGTTTTTCAACTATTAATGTCTGGTATACACTTTTGGCGAATTAATTAGATTTTATATAAGTTTCGCGAGGGCGCAATCAGTTATTTAACGTAAGTATATGGGGGCGGGAGAAACTGATCGTTTCAAATCATTAAAAAAATCCACCATTGCAAAATAATTAGAGACCCCGGTGCGTCAAAATCGGTCCGTCTTATAAATACTTGAATCGTTGTAACTAGAAATAACGACAATATTTTGCTAATAATAAATGATTTATTTCAATAAGGGGGTTTGAAAAAACGTCAAAAAATTTTTAATTTTTTAAATGGTTGCATCTGACTACTCTGAGAAACAACGAAAAAAAACCCCGGGGGTCCAGGCTCTTTTAAAGTCCAGACATAACAATATTTTGATGACATGTGATAATTGTATGTTATAGTGAGTTCTCTTAATATCGCATTATGTTTCCGTGATCACTATTAGCAAAAATATTTCTTTGTTATGTACAAAAATTAAAATAATTTAAAATGATTATTATTTTTGACGGTTACTAAGTCATGAGAATTAGGATGATACTATTGCACTGTATCGGTAGTTATTTTGAGTAGATTTTCAAAAAATATATTAATATATAATATAATTACCTAAATAACATTAAATACCATTAATAAAAGCAATAACGTTTCTTTAAAAAAACCTCGTGTAAGGTTTTCTTCATTGAACATGTAATTACGGAAGTTTTAGAGATATCACAGCATAATGATATCTGTTTATTTATTAAGACTACATTACTGCATGCATTAAGGCTCTCATGTATAACTGAAATATAACGGCACTGCAGCTTGCTTTATGTCGTTTCTTATTAAAAACATTACTGACATATTTCAGAAGCAACGAACATTTTCTTAAACCTTTATTCAAGCTTTGACAAAGCTGAAGTTTATTCGAGTAAAACAATTTGTCCAAGTTCATTAAAAAGCTCCAACCTTTTCTGTGCAACATCCAATGAGTCTCACGACGTTTGGATGCGTCCCCAATGACTTCATCACAGCTAACTCCTGTAACAAATCCGTTTTTTCTTTCTCCGAGGCGTTGCCCTTCAATGTTTTTACAGCTACTGTTTGTTCGCCTTTCTTTCCTGGAAATTAAATTAGTAGATAGATATTTTAAGATTGTAAGATTTATATATATAATTGAAATTTACTTCAAAACATGTTAAAAGATAAAACAAGAAAAATAAAGTTCAAGATTCATAGTAGCATGTGGAATAATTTAAAGGTCTGTGTTCAAATCCTAAACAATTATTGCTTGGGATAGATAGGACACAAAACTGATCACGTGCGAGATTTATAGAATATTGAAAAATAATCTAATTGCCTTAAAATCAGAATCAGAAAGAACTAACCAAATAATACATTTGCTTCAAATACTGCAAGATACACACAAGCAGTAGAGTGGAGGGTTCATTTTATAAATGGAACTTCCGGTCAGTAGAGAAACATACGAAGCGACTAAGCCAATGCTACGATACGTTTCTGGTATATATAAATTGTTTGTTTTAATTTTGCTTGTTCACTTTTCTATTTCATAAAGAGCATTTATGACAAAGAAAATTCAATTGCTGTTACGATAAAATGAATGAGTTTGAATATACATTTCATAACTATTCTAGTTCTTGTTCAAGAATCTTGCAAATTAATTTCTTGACGTTCTCTTAAATACGTCGACATCAAATGGAAAATTAAATTGTTTTGAATTGACGTGAAATTTAATTTATATCAAATTACACTTTTCAAAAACATTTATATTTAATTTTTATAAATTACCAGCTGACCCGGCAAACGTTGTTTTGCCATGTACCTATACTATTTCTATTTTAGTTCAATAAAAATAACTATCTGCTAAAATAAATATAGGGGTTGATTGGAGAGGGGTAAAAAATTAAGGGTTCTATGTATTTTTGTATACTGTATCATAAAAAAGTAAAAACAAAACTTTACTAATTATAACAGACTAATAAATAAAAAATAAAAAATTATTCCAAAATATTCACAAATCGGTCAAGCCATTTCGGATGTGTTTTATTACAAACAGTAATATAATTTGGTTAATTTCACCCGCTCACTCAGCTTCAAATTGAGAGACTTTATACTTCTACATGTGAACATGCTCATACTATTTTGGCGTAAGGGTGGGAAGGAATACGATATACTATTACTAATCGAAACTATAAACAAACGCGCAAGATTATGGGGTGAGGTAACTGTGCCCTCTATTGGATATGTGGCGTGCACTGATGTTAGTATAATTTCCAACTTGTCAGCACTCAAAGAAAATACTTTATATCTATGTACAAACTGACACATATCGACTGACAAAGTCTCTTTCGCTCTGGCGACGGCGTATGTCAGGCGACACACGCCGTCGACTTTTTCTGGTCTAAGGCAAGCCGGTTTCCTAACGATGTTTTCCTTCACCGTTCGAGCAAATGTTACAGGCGCACATAGAAAGAAAGTACATTGGTTCACAGCTGTGGATCAAACCTACGACGTCAGGGATGATAATCGCACGCTGAAGAGTTTACGGGATCTTTCTTACCATCAATATCAACAGCCTGTGCCCGCCATACTTGACCGAAAGCCCCTTCGCCGACAATATTAAAGATCTTGAGGTGGTGACGAGGAAACTCCCACTCATCTGTGGGATCTTCTTTGCTTATTGTAGTCTCTTCTGAAATCTGAAATGAATATTTTTGTTTTAATAGACACTTAAATAATATATACAGGCTTAGGTGGTTATGACTTATAAGCGATATTTTTAATGCTAAGAAATAAATTAAAATATCACAGCCGAGAGCAAAAAAAATATAATTTATTCTGATTTTAAAGAAATATACTTTCCAGTATACGTTTCCCTGTTTCATACAGAAGTAGTAAAATATTTTTGTATTAATAGTATACATTTACATATATTTGAATACAGCTTCTTTAATAGATATTAACGCATTTATTACATTAGGTAGGTACTAGCTGACCGGGCAAACGTCGTTTTGCCATGTATATCATTTATAATAAAAAATAGGGGTTGATCGTAGAGGGGTGAAAATTAGGGGTTGTATGTATTTTTTAATGCTGTATCATAAAAAAATAAAAACAAAAAAAAATATCTAAAAATTAAAACAAAATAATTTAGGGGTGGACTACCCTTAACATTTAGGGGGATGAAAAATAGATGTCCGATTCTCAGACATACACAATATGCACACAAAATTTCATGAGAATCGGTGAAGCCGTTTCGGAGGAGTTTAACTACAAACACCGTGACACGAGAATTTTATATATTAGATTATATAACATGACGTTTGGAGTGCTTTTCAGCTTTCGAGTCTGCCAACTAGCGAAAGGCTGCTACATAAAGATGACAGATAACTATTTAATATTATGATTGGTCTATCAAAATTATTCATGAACAAATATTATAAACTAAATCAAATTCTATAAACTTGGATGTAATAAAACATTTTATACGCTTTTATTACCCGTTATATATTTATAGTATTAAAGAAAAGCTGTGTAAAAAGGCTTATAAATATATAAAGTTAACGATTATCTAGTTGATAAAAGGGCTAGTGCTAGACAGGCTACTTCTAATTAATTTGCGATATTTTTTTAAAAATAAGGGTTGTTTGATGATTTGCTATTTTAAAAGAGTACCGAGAGTTTTTTACGCCGGTTTTTTGTCTCGATGAGTAGGGATGTATATTCAAATTTAATGACGTGGAATAAGTGATACCTGTATCTAATGTTCCATAATAAACATATGTTATTTATTTTATCGTTTTATAATTATATAAGGAAGGAAGTGTCAAACTATAGCAAGATATACGCGATTCGTTTTACGATTTGAACGTCAATTCATTTAACATAATTAACCTTGCCTTTCGCATCTAACGCTTGTCGTAAATTATGTGTCTACGCCATGACTATGATTTCCTTCAACAAATAATGAAATTACGCAGTTCTAACGTAGACTAACGAGTTTAAATTATCATGCAACTGAAACTGCATAAAAACATATTTTAATTTACTGTTTTCGTCTCACTTTCTTATTAATTTCCAGCGTATAAACACTTTTTCCCGACTGTCTTAATATTGCGTTTTTAGTTTTTTTCTGCGCTATCTTGTGATGTTAAATAAATAAAATCATTTTCTGAATTACGTTATGTATCTGTAGACTATGTTATACCGAATTAAGAATTAATTTAAAATTTCTGGTCCACATAACATAGGTAGATTTTATAAGAATCTTCATTTTTGTCCACATTGTAGAACTTATTTATCAATAAATTTACATTTCAAGTTTAGTTTAGCTAGTGTATTATTACTTGAAACAATGAAAATATTTTCTTTAGAATCTTGATATTTGTTTATATATGTTAAGATCTAAGGTGTCGATCAACTGTGAATTTTGCATATAGGTAAGTATGTCTAGCAGTAAGTCTCGACTCTGAATCATACTCCAAAACTTGTAAGAACGTGATTTTTTTAAAATCTTAAATATATTTTTTGCCAGCCCGCCTCCAGTATATTTTATTATGATAATTACGAAATATAATAATTATACTATACAAAAAACTAACTATGTCTGATGATACTTATCTATTGCTAGTCAGTGTTGCTAGCTTTTTTATAAAAGTATTAAGACTTTAAAGCTTGTTTTAACTTTAATTATTTAGGTTTTAAATATGTTAAAAAAAAATTATATATTATACTAACAATTTTCATACGCAATATGTTTTAATGTTTCTCGTTTTATGAGCTTTTGAGCGAATATTTATTTAGTTTAAATTAACTATTGACTTGACTAAAACATTTTATTTATTTTATCAACACGAAATAATGCCGGTGTGTGGCTTCGTCGAGACGAGACCATTAATTATATTTTTATTTAATTAGAAAATAAAAGTAAGTCACATATAAGTTACATACAAGTTCAAATTTTACCACAGTCACTTTCAATAACCAATTATTAAATAGCACAAAAGTTTCTAACTCCTAAACATTTCGTATTTTGGCTTTAACAAATTAAGGTTCCAACTATCCGTCACTAGCTACGAGTCTTTTTAATTGCTTTGTATTCCCTCTATTCTATATATGGAACCAATAAACACGAGCACAAATTAAAAATTCTATAAACTCCCTCGAGCCTTTTTTGTGGTCCACAAAATATTTAGTATTTTACATTTTAGACAATGTAGGAAAAAATTATATTTTAAATATTTTTTTAGTAAAGGACATTAAATAATTAATGTTATATATGAACGACTTTTTAATTATTAATAATTTTAATAAAATTATTCCTATAGTCAATCGGTTACAGCCATTCGACATTACGACCCGAATGTTAAGTTTTCGTATGACGTAACTCCAAGTATACGACATCAGCGTTAAGGATATTGCAAGAACTTTTGGATATATGTGCTTGGGATTTTTATTCAATAACGCCGCTTAGATTCTTTATTAAGGCGTGCAATGTTGGCTATTCTAAATTTTTGAAAACACCATTGGTTTCAGTTAGTGGGGCCTAACCTGCAAATGACCGCTGTCCCAAGATTTGTACTGATTGGAATAAGCACGTGGGCGATCCCACAAGTTGCCAGACGAATCTTGCAGAACAATCCCACTTGAGTCTTTGCTCTGTGGACAACGGATTTACAATGAATGAAGATAAAGCTCAAAAAATGTTTGGGATTTTCGCTACGATCTTTGTGGTATGGAAGTATTATCACTATATATAATTTTTCTAAGCGTTTCATGGAGTTGTTAGTTGCATGTTAGTATTATTTATAGAACAACACATACCATATCATCCTTCGTACTTTTCTTTCCTTTTACATGCCTCTTTTTCCAAACAAATATTATGACACCAGCTACGATCGCTATTAAAGCACCAATCGCAACTAACGGTATAACAGTTAAGGGTACTTCATTACTCGGTCGTGTTTCCTCATTTGTATTATTTTTTGTTTCTTTAATGCCAACTTTATTTTTTTCTTCTCGCGGAACATCTGCAGGTGGTTTAGGTGGACTTAAAGTTGTAATGACTGTTGTTTCAGGTACTTTTTCTGTTCCTTCTGTTGCTTTGGTGGTTCTTTGAGGTGGTAAAGGAAAATTTGGTTGTAGCGTCATAGCAGTATTATAATTTGAAATGGCGAAGGCTGGCGGACTTGGCACTTTTGGTCGGGCTCCAGACGCATCTGTGACGGTTGCAAATACTTCTGTTCTTTGCGGGAGTGACACACCATCATCAGCCGTTACCCAGAGAGAGTATGATTTACTTTCCTGAAACATTTTTAATCAATTATCAAACATGTTCTCCTTCTATGTGCATATATGAAACAGCTTTGACCAGAAGGGTTTGTTGAAACCCACGTCTCAGACACTTGTCTTTAAAAATATATATGAAAAGCTATATTTTTTAATATATCACGCATTTGGGAGGGTTCAAGTATTACGTCACGCAATTTTTGGAGATTATTGACTCCCCCCCCCCATGTAACGCGCCGTAACGTTTTTCTGCACCCAATAGTAAAACGTTTCGTGACCATCCAGTACTCTTTATACCTAAAAGTTACCATTATGTGTTGTAAAGTACTGGAAAGTCGAAAATAATATTAACAATAACGCGTAATTCAATCCCCGCCCCGCATCGTAATGTTTTACAAAAGGACCCCCCCCCCAAAATTCGTTGCGTAATACTTAAACGCTCCCTTTCCTAACTCAGAAGAAAAGGCCTAAGAGGAAAAAGAACTATATATGAGGTCCTGTAACAGGTATGAATAAAAACATCTCACTGCAATCTGAAAAAAAATAAGCTTTTAACCAAATTCTTCGTAAACCCAGTAAATAATAATTACCTTATCTGCAAGCGTATCATTAACAAAAACAACGCCTGTGTGAGGGTCGATCGCAAAAGGTGTTGGAGGTCCACCTGTCTCCAAGCCGAAGGTCACGTTCTGCTTCCCAGTCCGTTCCCTCGTGACCCGGGTCACTATCGACCCGATCGGGTCAGAGGACATCACATACCAATTGCGGGCGACTTGCGTGATCGCAGGTAAATTGAATCCCGGGGGGAGTTGCAGATCTGACGAGGCTGGAATAAAATGGTAAAAATAATTGTAAATAAACATTTTAAAGTCTTTTGACTGGTATTGTATTGTTCACTTATCAATTTTCAATATAGATAGCAGATAAGCTTTTTGTGTTTAACAACTCGGAATAATATTTTGCCGGAAATAGATTCTAGAATCGTCCTATACACTACATTGCTACGGAAGTGGCCTTAAAGTATGTCTTTAAACGTATTTACAATAAAGCAAGTGAAGAAAAGTCCCTTAACTAGATAATGACATATAATGTATGCATAGTTTTTATTGATTTCCTTGGAATGCCATCCAACCTACACCCTTCATATTTACCCAGGCTTAGTGTATTATGAAACCAAGATAATCTAGCCTCTTATGTCTAGCCACATATGTCTCTTTTCTTGACAGTGTAAACACAACTTGATAGGAAGAGATGAAAGAGTTCTTTAATTAAAAGATTGCTTAGACTGATATAGTTTTTATTAATAAGGAGGTCAAGTCTAATCTACCAATTATGACTCGAAACTATAATTTCCGTTGCTTATTTTAAAAGTTCGTTTAATCAAAAAGATTTATTAACAAGGAAAAAGTGGTTTCAAATGCGATACAGAATTACAACCAAATTTGGAACTTTAATTAAGCTGATTTATTTATTACGGTGTAATAAAACTCAACACTTTACAAGGATGGACAGTATATTTGCATTGCAAGACATTTTATAATACATATTTATTCTCAAAGCCGTTAATATTATGTACTGTTAAGCCGTTAATATATATATATATGTACCTATTTATAATAATATATAAATTTTATATCTAAGCTATCCGTTTAAATATGGACCACAGACTTTAATATCTACAGCTCACTCTAATCCATCTCACCATACCATTTCGAATATATTTATTATAATTTTGTAAATATATTTTTATTTAAACAAATGTTAATTATGCCCAATGGTGTACACAGTTTCTAATTAAACATGTCATTTTCTCGCATAATATGTATTAACAGTTTACTAAGAATCCGATAGAAGTAATTAGTCACCGCTATCTTAGTTGTAACTTGGCGAAAGACCGGAAGTTGTGGGCACTAAGCAAACCTTCTTGAATTACTTACAAACTTATCTCATCTACCCCAAACGCTGTATAGACTTTAGGCTATTTTCCTTATGTATATTTTCAGTAACCTTTATAAATGTTATGCGTTGCATATCCATTTATTATTTACTTAATAATCATAGCCATTTAATTCAGATTTACATTTAACATTACATTTAAATACGTTTCTATTTAAATCTCCTTTTAGGCATCTGTGTGCCCTTTTTTGGCAAAAGCCTACTCCAAATCGCGACATTCACTTCACTGTACCACTCTCTGCCATGTATAACCTTTTGTTTCTTATATTGGTCTATCTACCTTCTAAGTTGTCTTCTTCTTTTTCGTTTGCTGTAGGTGCCTTGGGCACCAGTTTAGTACTTTTTTGCTCAACTTTTCTGTTGTCATGTGCCCCGCCCATTTCCACTTTATGTTATTTATTTTTATTGCAACATCTGTAAGCTTAGTTGTTTTTTTCTTATACTTCTTTTTTTCAGTATAATTTATTTAATTATGTTCAAATCTAATATTATATTAGAAAATATTAGATTTTTTGTTTTGATTCTTATACTAACTACAGAACTGTTCAAAAAATATCTAAAGCTACTTTATTAGCGAAAAAGACACAATACGATATTGCCGCTACGATTAATAGGAGAGACGAATCAATGAAGAAGGCAAAAAGGATAAAAAATATTTACTTATGATTGTTTCCCTCAGTTTATTTGGTTCGAAATCGATCTGAGTATCGGATTTGAATTTAAAATATTTTTGTATTGAATGGTCAATCTGTGCAGAAGGCACCTATAACATACTGGCGGCCCGTCCCGGCTTCGCACGGGTGGACATTATTTTTTAAACATTTTGGCATAAATGTACAGTAAATGCGGACATACCTAAATAATAATATATTTAGCAAAAGTGTATCGCTGGCTCCCTTTGTGTACGGGATTTTCAGAATCACTGACATCAACGGGTAATTTTTAAAAACATTTCACTGTGGTTTAGAATATATATCCATATTTTTTGCTTGCAATTAAAATAGCCTATATTAATCAGTGATAATGTAGCATTCGAATGTTGAAAGAATTTTTAAAATCAGTCTAGTACTTTTTGACCCAATTCGTTACAAACATACTGACATACAAATGATTCCTCTTTATAATATTAGTATAGAAGGGTACAACCGAATTAACGCGAATGAAAGCGCAAGGTGTAACTTCCATCAATAAGTAAATTAACATATAAATAAGTAAAAGCTTGCATTGAAACTCATGTATGAAAGAACATAGGTATAAATTCACAATTCTCAATTCACAATAACAACAACAACACACAACAATTCCAAAATCCTTAAAATAGTTTTTTATTATTATATATTAAATATTATATATATATATATATAATAATAAATCTATTAAATAATTAATATCTAATAAAATCATAATACGTTACATTATAAAACCGCTGTGGTTTTTAAAAATGTCAATAGCAGTCAATGGTATGTTGGTCCTAAATATGGTAGGTGAATGGAAACATTTTTTTCCGAAATTAATTTAAAAATAACGTGAGTGACATGTGGCTCTCAAATCAGTATAAACTTTGTAAGCAATCTAAAGCCCAAAGTTTCAGATCGTTTCAAACAACCACTGTGGTCAGAAATAGTTTGCGAAATTGTGGAACAAATTCTAGATCCTTTGTCGGGCCGCAGTATTTTAAATCTCATCAGACAAGCTTTCACAAGGCTAAATCTAGATCACATATGTACTCTAGATGTAAATCTTATCATATAAATAGAACAGCGTTGGCCTAGAGCATCGTTTCTCAACGATTTTTACGTCGCGAATCAAAAAAAAAAAAAAGTTAAGTGAAACAGTCTTGCGATCCAGTCACTGTGAAATTATAAAATAAATGTACATAGCGCATTATTTTGAACAAATCTTTTGTGCCTATATATAGTTTGTATTTATTATTTTTTAACAGACTGCGACCCCCTTTTAAAACTCGACTCCCTGCTTGAGAAACGATGGCCACGACGCCTCTCAACCCTGAGTTCGTGGGTTCGAATCACTGTACACCAAAGGGCTTTTCTTTCGATGTGCAGAATTTACATCCGTTCGAGAAGGAAAACATTGTGAAGTGCGCCATGACTTAGGCTCGAAAATCGGCGTGTGTCACAGAAAGCATACGTACTTGGCTATTAAGAAAACAAATACACGAAACAGAAATCTGAGACGAAGATTTTAGACAGATTATTATCTTGGTATGCTTTATATAGTATTAGTTAGTAAAAGTTTTTTGGTTTTCGATTAGTATACCTTTAATAATTCATTGATGGATATAAATTTGAATTTATAAGATAAATTAATTAAAAAATAGCTATTCTGTCATTATACAAGGTTTATTAACAATTATTGTTTTATACATATCGTATTTTAATCATAATTCCAAATTAAGATAATTAAATAATAATCCTTAGCATCTAAAATAAAATAATAAATAGATACTAAAATAATTTTATATAATTGAAAAGCTTTGATAATTATACTAGCTATTAGCTCCACGACTTCGTACGGTTTACTTAGATATTATATAAATTAATCAACACAAAATTATTTAAACGTTCTTGGTATAATGATATTAATGCGAAATCATATAATGGCCCAGCTACACGCCAGTTAACCAAAACAAGAGAACATCACGCCATTGAGTCTTTTGTTTGTAATCCATGAATTGATTCGGCCATTAGGCATATAGTCGTAATTAATTATAAGATATCCATCTATTTAATTAATTAAAAGGCTTATCAACGCATAACTTAACAAAAAAACCAAATCTTAAGTATTGGTACATAGTACCGGTGACCCCGGAGCTATCCTCGCTCAATGAATAAGTATCGCAATACAGCGAAGAAATGCTGCCAGCGTTAAAGGTACACTGCCGCAGGGACCAAACTTTTAAAATTTATTTTAATTTTCTTTTGTATAATTTTTAATTATGTTTATTATTACTATATTAAGTATGAATAACAATTAATGCTAGGTTCTAAGATACAATAAAAAATAATATACAATACAAAAATCACGAATGAACAGTATAGTATTTGGTTAAGAGGTGTTTAATTGTTTACGTAAAAGAGTTTTAAAAGACGAAAGAGAGGTGCCAATATGGCGGTGATCCTAAATGACTTTTCTAAAAAGGATGAGATGTGAGATGGAATTTCTAAAATTCATCAGCGAAAGTCATAAATACCTAAGAATTTGAACGAATTTTTAAGGTAAGAGGGACTTCAGAGGAGAACGAAGGAGATCGTTGGTCAAAACATTTAGAAAGGGGGAATTACGTAAATACAAAATAAGCATAAAAAACTTTATCGAAATTTCTCTTGTTCTACTATTAGAATTATTTTGATAGCATTTCAGAAATTTGGCAGTAAAATCAAAGTATCTTTTTGACGAATTATCTTCGAAAGACAATATATAATAATATGGCATGTTTATTTCCTTGGTACCTAATAAGGGGTAGGTAATAATGTTACAATGTTCTATGAAGACAATAAAAAGTCACTGGACTTGCAACGCATTGAATAACACATTCGGTTTGTTGAATAAAATTAATTGGAAAATTTTAATTAACATTTCGTAGAATGAGCATTTTTTCACTATAAGACATAAATGTTATTTAAAAACTGTTCGTATCCCTCTTTTTTATTATACACAAGGGAAACGGGCAAGAGGCTCACCTGATGATAAGTGGTGCCGACGGCCATGGCACTCACAGTGTCAAATGGCTCGCTAGTACGTTGCCGGACTTTTATAAAAGCTCGCTCAAACAGAACAGACATATTTATAAGTCTCGATTTTTGAAATTTTTATAAGAGCGGGTGATAAGCCTCACGTACTTGACACTTCTTCTAACTGTCTTCCTTCACGGGAAAGAGTTAACAGTGCAACTTTACGTGTACGAACGCACATAGGTGTGAGTAACGAATTCTTAACCACTAACATAGTTTACCCGAAAATTAATTGAATTAAAAATTCACCAACCCACGTGAAATAAAAAATTCCATTGTTCAATACATGTGATTTTTACATGGATAATAATTACATTTTCTCCAAATTTGTAACAGCTAAAACTATCTCTTAATATGCGCCGAACCTACGTCTGAATAAAGTTGTTTTTTTTTAAATTTAACAATGTACTCAATTTGTGTGTGTAAGTTTTTAAATAGCACGTTTACAACATAACTGATGATCTTCAAATTTGCTTTGTAGATCATCGACCTGTCTAGTGAAATTTTGCTAAGCAATTTAACAAACGAACGGCTTATTAAAAATTAATTCCTTTAACTCAAACTGACAGTAAAGTTTGCCCTAAAAATATCAAGAATAAAGTAAAAAAAAAAGTCCAAAAAATTTGCAATACAGTAAGGAGGACATTAAAAAACCTTTATGTATTGGCCTCAATCATTGGGGATTAGATTTTCTTTGCCGGTACGGCAAAAATATCTAGTTATTCTAGACTTTAGCGGTACGAAATACCAGGTTAGTATGAGATGAAAACAATTTGCAAAACTGTAACAAGTTTAACAAGATGCATGCTTAACTCGTTAATACAGCGTGGCGTGGTGAAAGTCACTTTCACTTGTTACAACATTACTTATCACTTACATATTCCTATCATGTGCTGTAACATTTTTAAGTATTAGAAATTGTTATGATCCACCAGGCACAAAAGCTTCGCTAATTATGAAAACGAAGGCTTTTAAAAAGTAAAATAATTACAAAGCTTTGAAGCTTTCTAAACTGGGTTACTTAGCGACCTTGTCACATCAATACTAATTTTCTATTAGTCCACACATAAAATGTAGAATCAAAATAGAAAATTAACTAAATACGACTATTTAAGAAATATCTATGAATTAGATTAGTCACAAAACAATAGTACATACATAACAAAATAATAACTAAGGACTTATGTTACGTCATGGTCTCACAAAGGGCTGATATGATACTCCGGCGCCCACCATTAAACATTCTGTTTAACTTGCCATTCGCTTTTTACAGATGACGTGTACCAAAAGCCTGCGGAACATCGATAAATTCCTTAACCCGATCACCTTGAACATCCGACACAAGCTGTTTGCGTTTAATTCAAACACGCAACTTTGAATTTTATTGCTATATAAAAACTGTTACAGTAAACTAGACCGACTTTGGATGATAAAATATCAAATAAAAATATTTATTTAACTATTACTGAACAATTATTCTTATTTTTAATTTTATTTTATTTACTACTAGCAGACCGGCCAAGCGTTGCTGTGGCTAAGGTTTTAGTTATATAACATAGTAGTAACCTATTCAAGGGAAACGGTAGGAGAACACCAGTCATGGGGACCACCATGCTTTTTTGGTGGTAATGCCATTAAATTGTAGCTTATTTGAAACATCGGTACTTTCAACACAGCGCCATCTGTTAGAATTGTGACTATCAAATAATAAACAATTACTTTGCAATAAAATAATATTGCGGGTATAAATTGAGATGTAAGCTATCCTATCTTTTAAGTTAGATCAAACTGCACACGGTGTGCAAATTTGATTGAAATCGGCTCGGTAGTTTAGGAGTCCATAGCGGACAAACAACGTGACACGTAATTTATATATATTAAGATTACACACAAGACTTCATTCCTTACACTGCCAACTTTTACTAATACTATTGTTTAATTAAGTATTATTATTATTACAACATTCATTTTTTTGTTACTGAGGCGCAGCTAGCTGCTGTGGTCTCTGGCAGAATGACCAGCGTGGAACTGTGGAACAGTCTGCTCCTCAGTATAATGCTGAGCCAGGGCCAATTACAACCACAACCTTGTTCTTTAAAAGAAAAAATTTTATTTTTTGAAGTTGTACTTCTTTAGGCGCGTTATGAAAAATTGATGAGAGTGAAATTTTACGATTGCGCGCGCACCTATGACACAAAATTGGCAGTGTGATAAAGCGTGCGCGAGCGAGATGGGAATAAGACAAACTACAAGTAAAAGAAATAGAATATGCGTGAAGCTAACTTCACGCATATTCTAGCTTAGCAGCTTAACAAGAATTTTGAATGACCATGACAATTGACATCTGACAATGACATTTACCTTTTAAACAAATATAGGAGTTTTAATTATTGTTTAAAATTAATAATTATATACCTAGTTATTTTCATTATACAAAATATTTGTGAAATAATATAAAATATTTGTGAAAAAACTGTGCTAACCTTCCTGAGTGCTTCAATACAATTGAGGTTAACTATCCGTATGTATTATCGAGTATTATTGTTGATTAAAACTGAAACATGAACCATTATTCATTGCTTTTGTTTATTGCGTTTGTTACAGCAACTTTTTAGAAATATTCTACGACCCTATATATCAATAATTGAGAACAAAGATTTAAGCACGAATACTAATAAGGAGAAAATGAAGGCTTGGAGCGATATAACAGAGAAGTAAACATTTTAATAAGTACCTGCATCTCAAAAAAATGACCACATTATTTAATCAAAACATCAGATTTAATCTAGCAAATATAAGGACAAGAGACAAAAAACAATTGATGAATCAGTGGAAGTGTACTAAATTGAATACAAAAAAGAGTTGTCATCTTATCGCCGTGAAACATCAAAAACTGGAGGTGGAACAAAGCCACCATCACCTTCTCGAGACACAATGGTTTGAAGTAGATTTCAATGAATTTGATTGTGATGGTGTCGAGGTAGGAATGTTAATTATAAATATGATGTATGGTGATGTTCAAGGTTCAACCTTTCAAGCATAGGCATATGCTTACAACATTACTTTATTCCCCTACAGGGTAGTTAGAGATATTGTAATACCTCAAAACATCCATGTTGCACTTGTAGTACCGAAACTCTGTCCTGCCAGAACTGAGCCCATTCCCACTTATAATGGACAGTGGGTATAATACACCTTAATACCTGAGTGCAAACCACTCACCATGATACTTAAATTAATAGATGTTATTTATATATTTCAGGTTATTACAAATAAAATCATTTTGGAAACAATTGATATCCCAAAAGCAAATAAAGCCAACAATGACAAGGTAATAAATCAGTTTTGACATAACTTGAATACTAAAAAAGCCAAACAAAGGTGTGCACAACAGTGACAACATAACTTAACAATTTCATTATTTTGTAGGATTAAAGAAAGGTTAAAGAAAATCATGTCGAACTGAACAACAAGAATCCCCAAACAACTCCAAAGAAACCTACAAGGAAGACACCGGTATTATATTTAAATTATCTCTATCTCTAAATAAAATAAAAGAAAGTTGCTATCCAGGTCTGTAGCATATATTATTAACACATTTATATAATTATATTAATATAAATGTGTTAAAAAATTTATAATATGAATTATAAAAAATTTTAAGTTTTGCATGGGCAGAGCTTAAATTAATATTCTCTTATTTGTTGCAGAAAGCAAGTAGTTTTGGAGAAGCCTCGTAGATGCACAACCAAGTAATGATTAATTTAAAATTACAAACCGAAATTCTGATGAAGACATTAGAGTCACTTAAAAATAAATAGTATAATGAAATAAAAATGTTTTAAAGATAAATAGTGTTTTATTTGTTTAATGTAAGAGAATAATAATAAATATTTATTTAATTAATTTTTCAAATGTAAACTGAACTTTATTGACTTTAATGACTCCTTTTCCAGTCTTTGATTATTTAATTGTAATTAATTATTTGCATGCAATCAAAAACTATTTTTAATAATGCCAAAGAAGTATAACTTCTTACGCGCGTACATAAGTACACGCACCCTTTTTTTTTTATTATTAATTATTTTTATTTTATTTTGTGTGTACAATTCTGTGTGTGTGTCTCTGGAAGTAATGACCAGCGCTGTGAAAATGTGCTCTATCAAGGCCACACCACAACACACGTATTATACGCTAAAGTAGAAAATTAACTATTTTATAGGTACCTAATGAACACAATTTTTGTCTATGTCCATGTAAATACAACAAGGGTAACACAATTAGCTATAGGCGTTTAATTAACTATATATACATTCAACAAGGGAATCATGCGACATTCCTCTGTGATGTAACAATGAAACTTCACCGTTTAACAATTTGAGATTTGACCGCTCGGCTGAGCCCCTGCAATCTCCACGATATAGGTGATAATATTAGTTATTCATTTCTGCTACGACCAGGAAGATTAAAGAATGCTTTGATATATTTACGCTGGGACTAGTAGACTCGGCGTCAAGCGTGTTGGCTGCTCGCGCCAAGAGGTTTTTGTTATATTACATAGTAGTAAACTATTCTATAGGTCGAAACGGTAGGACCCGACACTTATAGATGAAAGGTAGATGACAGCTCTATGTTGAAACGCTTGATAATTTTAACACAGCGCCATCTGGTTAGAATTGTATCAAATAATAAACAAATTATTTTGCAATAAATTAAAATTTTCTGTGACTATAATTTGAGATTCTCCCCAAACTATCCTATCTCTTTTGTGCAAGGTTGGAATGGTTTAGACTCCCGCCCAGATGGACTGCAGTGGACTTTCAAATTTGATTGATATCACGCTTTAAATATCAGCAGTACAACGTTTAGGGGTCCATTGAGGACTAACTATGTACACGAGATTTATATAAACTATTATAGCTAATTTAATGCGACGCAATATTTATTGAAAAAATCCTAAGACGATTTAAATAAGAACACATTCCTTATCCTATACAATTGGAAAGAGATGGCAAGCAACAGGTGCATGTGAGTATGACCTTGTAGAGTAAGTTGGGTCAGGCTTCAGAAATGACTTACGAGATACTCTTCAAGAGGAAAATGGAAAATTAAACTCTATGACAAGCACAATAAGATTTATTATTTGAAAATGAAACAGTGGGAGCTGGTTTGTTGTTAGGGTTCGTTTGTACCAGGGCAATAGAAATGCGTAGG